TATACTTTACTTATAATAAACTTAAAAATAACTTATTTTAATATAATTAAACTTAATTATTATAAGTATAATTAAATAATGACTTTATTATTATTTAAGTTAAGTAATCTTTTAATTATATAATATTATAATTTTAAAATAACTTTATAAAAGCCCTTTAAAATAAAATTCCTCTTTTTTTATTAAATCCTTTTTTTATATATTTATATCTAGCTACCTTACTAATAACCCTTTCCTAAATCTAGGAAACTTATTATTTATTTAGTTAAGTATAACAGTCCTCCATTCCAAGCTTATGGATGTTACCTTATCCCTTGTAAGATCCATTAAACCATCAATATAAGCAGGCCCTACAATAACATATCCCTGTCCATAGGTTTCTTGTTTTCGAAGAACCATTGGCACTGCAACGCCCTTGATAATGGAGATAGTGTCACCCTTAGCCATGGCGACAGGACCCGAGCCGATCGCACCGTCGCTAGATACGAACAACCCTCTCTTGCCAGCAAACCGATTACATATCTTGATAAAGTAGTCCAAGCAAGTCCTATCCCTAGCAATTTCTTGCATAGTAGTATGAGTAGTTGGTGCGATCCCGCACATTGTTTCCACCTCCTTCTCAAAGCAAACACCATGGCGTCTAATGATGGTGTAGAACGTGTTGAAAACATCCTTTTGTCTCGGATCGATCTTGGACACAGAGGTAGAACTTCCATTGAATGTGTTGAACACAGCACTCGGTATGGATTCATGAACCTCGTTGAGGATGACGTCTCTGGTGATCTTGATGATCCATCGGCTTAAGACTTGGATGTTGTTGTGAAGGCTCTCTTGCATCGGTGGCGCTGGATTACCCGAGTCATCAAGCTCAATCTTGTGAAAGGGCCGTGTGCAGAACTCTGCTGTTCGCAGAAATGCACCATTAACCGAAAGGGTGTTGCCAGAAGCAGATACCTGGAGCTGGTCATCAGACCACCGCTCCTTCTCAATAGAATCGTACAAGTATGAAGATGGTAGCCAGCTTCGTTTTGCAACTGTACTCCAGTCCGGGACCCAGCTAGGTGCACCAGGAGGACTTAATCCACAGTCAATGAGTAGGTTGACGAATGTTGGTTTCCGCTCTATCAGACTGACAAAAGCATCGCGGTAGATCTCTCCCGTCGGTCTGTTGTAGTCAGGAGTCGGTTGACGAATCCCCAGCCGTTGGAAGACACCCTCAACAGCGAATACGCGATCTTGAGGCTTGGTCGATTCGCGGTCTCGCATCGCTTGCAAAAGTCCAACAAGATGGTTTTGTTGTGTTAAATCCTCGGTTTGACCTATCCGACCGTATACAGTATTTTGTTTCATATCGTTATCAATATCAAGCGCTGTCGCAATCATGCTAAGATATATATGGAGAAACAGAATGAAAAAGCAAGTTGACCAGACGATCAAAGCCATAGACCAGTGCCAGAGCACATCGATCCATCCCCTTTTTTCCGGTAGGCCATGTCCACTGGGAGCCTCCGGCCAAGTAGCGACACTCAGAGGAGGAAATGCCATAAAGAGTAAGACAGAGAAGACTGATACCAGGGTTACCTGATTCGCCAAAGACCGGTAAATCTTCTCTGGCTCAAGTAGTTGCACATACTCGCGAACAGAACAACTGTCTCTTGAACCTCCGGTGTGGCATGACAACACGCGGATCTCATGGCCATTCCAGCGGCAGGGACGGGAGATACTCTGCCAAACCTCAAACAGATTCTGCCAGCTCTTGAATGCCTCGGAGGAGGCTATTAGTCTATGCTCTCGGCGGCGTTCATCCCGAGCGACTATTGAAATATCACCTTTGTTACAGAACTGGGAGGTGGAATCTTGGATAAAGGTGAGAGCCTGATATAATTGCAGCCAGGTGACGTGTTCTTGTCCACAAACCAGTATCGGATTTGGTGCCAAGGTGACCTCTTGAAATGTCCAGGATCGATACAGCCATGTTTGGTCTAGTAATTCAAGCAGTGAGACACGGTCGCAAGCATACAGGACACCGACATCTTGCTTTCTTTCTAGGCCAAGTTAGCTGATGAGATACTATGGATATTCCGCGCCTGTCCACCAAAGGAACTTGGTATTAGCTTACTGTCTCGGTCTCGGGCGCTCCGTTGGGAGAGTGATAAAATACCCCACCAAAGCTGATTCCGGTCTTCGTCTACTGTGATGGGGCCGGTACCATCCCACCATGGGACGCCAGCTGGAAAAAGACGATGCTGTGAAGCGGCCCGGATATATTTCATGGCCTTGTCGGTTGCCTGGCTGCCGTCGCCTAGCCAAATGTATACTGCCTCGGCCCAAGTATAAATCTCTCCCATCAGAGGAATCTGGTGCGCTAGCTCGTTGGCGTCGTCCTGGTTAATGCACACGGCGTCAACCCAGAGAGTCAGATCACCACACTTTTCCCGAAGTGAAAACAAGGCTTCATAGCAGGACTTTGTGATGTTAATGTCGCAACCGTTGCAAGAGATTGTTTTATCGGAGGCCTTGCCCCAAACGTATGAAAGAGCTGTGAATTTCGGGCTGTTTCGCAGGTCGACAGTTCGAAGGGTGCCAGTCAGACATTCATCTACAGCTAGAGGCCGTTTCGGAATGTCGAGTACACGGATGCATTGAGACCTGGATGGAATTGGGATTGAGTCGTAGAGTTGTGCCGTTGTGAACGGGCCTATCGTTGGTGTGCGATGCTGATCGGTATCGTCCATATTTGTGGATGATGAATGGAGAGTTGCCGGGGTTGAAATCTGGGGTTAGTGAGGGTTAATTAAGTAGTGGATAGGGAGAACTCGCCCCATTGAGTATTGCACTTTTAAACCCTGAGTCACCAAATATGAGTGGACCAAATTTTCGCCCCTGAGCCCTGAAGAAGCAAACCTGGCGAACCAGAGAGACAACACAGCCGCCGTGGCTGACCAGCTGGGCTTGGCGCATCTAAACAACAATCAGCCCAAACAACAAAAATCAGCCTAAATAACAAAAATCAGCCCAACTAACAGCTTTCCTAAGGGGAAGTAGAGACAGATACTCAGTATTACGACCCCAGCAGTTCCATTACGTATGCTCTATACTTTTTATTAATTAATACATTTCCGCTAAAGATAATTAGCACTTAGAAGTTATAATTATAACTAATTTATTATAATTAGTACTAATTCTATAGTAATATTACTAATTACTTAAATTACTTAAGGATTTATATATATATTTATTTTATATTTAATAAACTTTACTTACTAACTATTTATATAATATTTTTTCTATTTTAATAAGCTTTATTTAGACTATTACGTATTAAAAGATTTAACTTGAATTATTTCTTTATGTTTCTTTTTTTACTATTTTAAAACATAAATGTAGTATAAACTAGTTTTTTTATTTAAAACCTTTAAGTATTATAAAATAGCTTCAATTACTAAAAAATACTATTAAAAATAAACTAACTTATATATATATATATATTATATATATATTTAAAAAGAGTTAGTATAGTAATTATATACTAATAAGTATACTAGGGCTAGTATAGATATTAACTTTTCTTATTTAACTAGGAATTTAGTAAGTTAGTTAATTATAAAAACTTAGATTTGAGAAACATTTATTCTATAATATAGATAACCTACGTAAGAGAACTTTGATATTTTTCTAGCCTCTTTCTTCTGAGATAAATAAATCAATTATACATAAACGCCACAATTGATTGGGATTGTTCTGGTCTTTAAAAGATCTACGCATTGACCTCGGCTTAAGTGACGATCGTGTAGAAATACGAGGCGATAGAAGACAAAAGTCTACTGATCTTTCCATTTCCGGACGCTATAGGTTAACCAGTCTGTTATCACCAACGCTATGCTTTTTACGATCACGAGAACCATCTAAAATTAGTTCCGGCTCAAATACGAGGTTTTGAAACCAGGAACTGGGCCCGACCGTTCTCGCCGATCTCACTCAACTACAAAATGTTTCCCCTTTCGCTTCCGTGATTTCTAACCCGCCAAGACCTGTCTTTAACTTACAGATCTCTTTCCCGTCTTGGCGAAGAAGTGTTGCTACAAGATCATAAAGCAATGCACCGTTACGCGACACTCGTCGCGCTTCTGAGTGCGCAGATCGTCAGTGCGCTTCCTCAATCGCAATGGAAGGCCGTGTCTGGGGATGAAGTGGTTCGCGCTGCTGTCGCATTCCATCAGCCTAAGCTTGCGGAGGCTGAAGCATTGTTGATGGATATTTCGGATCCTAAGTCAGAGAAGTTTGGTCACTATCTTGAGCTCAGGGAAGTGGTACGTTTCCCCTCAATCTGCTTCAGTGGTTCCCCCACCTGACGATCTTCTAGCAAGACTTCTTCAAACCCAGCGACAGTTCACAGAAAAGGGTCATGCAATGGCTCGAAGATGCAGGTGTCGACTTATCTTCCGTGCATCTCAAGAAGGCAGCTGCTATCCTAGAGTTCTCTGCTCCGGTCAAGCAGCTTGGAAAGATGCTCGGAGCTGGCGTTCATGTTATGCACAACGATGCGACTGGTGAACTTCGCCTCGAATCTACCGAGCATGCAGTTCCGTCTGCAATTGAGGATGATGTTGAGTTTATTGCGCTGGCTCCATCTCAAAAGACTGGCAAAACGAAGCGCAGCCGCGCAGTCAAGCCCGTGCTAGATACCCTACCACCGCCATATAAGCTCCCAGTTGCGGATGATCTGCGCAACTGTAGCGAAAGCTGGACTCCAGCTTGCATCCGAAGTAAGTCAATAGCAAGACTTTGCCGCTCACTACTAACTGGCGATATAGAGCTCTACGGTGTTCCTCTTGGCACCAGGGCGGCAAAGAATAACTCCATGGGTCTATTTGGATTCGGCGACCCGTACCAGCCAGCTGATCTCAATCAATTCTGGGCAAAGCACGCACCTTTCATTCCCAAAGGAACCAAGCCTAAAGTCAACAGCATCAATGGTGCCGTGGCAGAAGGTACACCCATTGAAGGCGAAGAGTTACTCGACATTGAGATGTCATATCCAATCGTTTACCCCCAGACCGTTACCATGTTCCAGGTAGACTACAGCAACAAAGGAGGTCTTGCTAATGACTTCCTCGCGGCTGTTGACGCAAGCTACTGTAAGTACGACGGAGGCAATGATCCTGATCTTGATCCCACGTTCCCTGTCTTTGGTGGCGGCTTCCAGGGCCCTGCTATGTGCGGCAAGTACCAGATTACAAACGTTCTTTCAATCTCCTTCGCGATTGATGAGCAGACTCTGCCTCGGCATTATATCCAGCGACAATGTCACGAGTGGATGAAGTTGGCTCTCAGTGGTGTCAGTGTTCTCGTCGCTTCTGGAGATCGTGGTGTCCAAGGTGCTACGCAGTGTACTGTGAACCCTTACGATACAAAGAAAGAGGCTTTCAACGCTCTCTTCCCTGGATCCTGTCCATATGTCACAGCAGTTGGAGCGACACAGGTCAACTTCACTGGCAGCAGAACCAATGAAGTTGCTGTTTTCGATCCCAAGCATAACTTTTACTCTGGAGGTAAGTATCATCATCAACTGGCAGGGTTTTACTGACATATCCCCAGGCGGTTTCAGTAACATGAACGCACAGCCAGCCTACCAGCGCAATGCTGTCGCTAGCTATCTCGCGGCCAACAACCCTCACTACCCCAAGGGAACATACAACATTTCGGGACGCGCCTTTCCCGATGTCGCTCTCTTGGGGGCCAATGTTACTTTCCTGCAAGATGGCAAGACTACCATCAGTGGAGGTACCAGCGCTGCTGCGCCAATGTTTGCTGCTATGATCAACAGAATCAACGATGAGCGATTATTGGCGGGGAAGAAACCAATTGGCTTCTTGAACCAGATCCTTTATCAGCACCCTGAAGTATTTACTGATGTAAGTGTATTGATCACTAAAATTGAGCATTTACTAACGTTGATAGATCACACAAGGCTCTAATCCTGGTTGCGGCACAGCAGGGTTCAAGGCGGCCAAGGGATGGGATCCGGTTTCGGGAATGGGCTCTCCCAAGTTTCCCAAGCTTCGAGACTTGTTAGTTGGCCTCCCTTAAGCTAAGAGTTATAAATAGACTGCAGGAGATATAGACAATGTAATTTGACCTCGGTATTATTTGCTAAAAAATTCATCGCGGTCCCAGTTTGCTGCCTAAATGCGATGCAAGATGATACATGTCACGTGCTGTTGTCCTATGTTAAGCCGTGATCAAGCGTGAACTTTTCATCCTTCTCAACACGTCAAACCTCAACTCTACAAACAAAATGGACGCCGCTCTCCTTCCAATCAATGAGCAAACCGCTCGCTTTCGTCAAGCGATCGAATGCAACAAAACACTCATGACCGTTCTATCGCGTGCCGCTGAAATGAAACTCCCCAATTGGTACCTCGCAGCTGGTGCACTCACGCAAACCGTCTGGAACGTTGTCACCAACCGCGACCCAGAACTTGGCATTGACGACTACGACTTGATCTATTTTGACGACTCAGATCTATCTTGGGAGGCTGAGGATGCTGTTATCCAGGCTGGAAAGAAGATCTTTGCCGATATTCCTACTGAAGTTGAGATCCGAAATCAAGCACGCGTGCATCTCTGGTACGAGAAGAAGTTTGGCAAACCGTGCCCTCAGCATCGCTCTAGCGAGGCATCCATGACTACTTGGGGAACCAACACTGCACTTATCGGTGTTCGACTGAGAGAGGATGGGGAATGGGATATCTTTGCGCCATGGGGGTTCTCGGACATGTTCACACTCACAGTGCGCCCGAATCAATTGATCATGACGGAAGAGACATACCACAAGAAGGTTCAGCGCTGGATAAAGTTATGGCCCGAGTTGACAATCATGCCTTGGAAATAGTGTATGTTATAATCTCAGTCTAGACAAACTTTTGCTATAGAGCTATTAGACAATGATACGATTGGAGCAGACGTTATTAGGCTCCATGCGCACAAGGTTTATTTAAATCTCCTTCTTGGGTCCCACGTAGATCTTGTTAGCACGAAGGAAATAGTAAATAGTAGCCAAAACACCAATTCCGCCAGTCATCAGAGAAGCATAGTTCATGCTCTTAGCATCGACAGGGGTTTGGGGAGGCCACAGGCTGAAGAACCAGACAATGGTGATGAATATGCAAGCAAAAGTGTTGTTGATGATGCCAAACATTCCCTTGAGGTGCCAAGGACCCCATTCGAGAATTTGTCCGTCGCCATGAATGTTTCGGATCTGGTAGTTCTTATCACAGCGACGGTATAGAAGAAGGATGGCGGGCATGAAGTATGATGCGTAGAGGCCTGAGATGGCGACTGAGATGATGGCGTTGTAGACAATTGAAGAGCCGAGGTTAATGAGACCGATGATGCAGGAGATGAGACAGGTGACGGTGATGGACCAAACAGGCATGTTGGTGCGGCTCTCGACCTGTAGTTTGTTAGTTGGTTCTTACAGATGGCAATTGAGCGTACTCTTGAGAGGATAGGCGAGAAAGGCAGAGCATTGTCGCGAGCAAAAGCCCAAAGCATACGTGATGTTGATGCAATGACACCAACGGTAGCAGAAAGGGTCATGACGATAATCAGTGACACCATTCCGGCGGTTCCGGCCTTTGATCCAGTGGCTTGGTAGAAGATCTCCATGAAGGGGTAGCCAGTTGGTGTCTCAATGGCTGCGTCGATGTCGGTTGCGGAGTAAAGCATGGCGATGACCATACCGAAGCCGAGAAGGCCGTTGATGGTGATACTGCCCATGATAGAGCGAGGGACGATCAGGGAAGGGTTTCGTACTTCTTCACACATCTGTGACATGATCAGTAACATAAACATCGATTAAAGTAGTGGTCCCCACGTGAAAGGAGCAGTCGACACCTGATACACGTTAGTTGATTGAGCAATTGATGCTGTGATCAAGACTTACCAGTGAATGAGAAGACACAGCCCAATAGTCCAACAAACCATGAAAGACCTTGAGTAGGCCAATTGCCCGAGTTGCGCCATTCGGTAAACACTTCAGTGCCATTATCGTTGTCGCGAAAAACAAGAAGTGTAATGAGAATAGCAAAGAAGCCGATAAGATGCAGAATCAAGATCATCCCCTCCAGGATAGGAAGCAATGCACTGACAACAGTGTTGATGATGATAGCGACGAGGACACAAGCCCAGATCATCAGACTACCATGCCACGTTTTCGCATGATAAGACGGCGTCGTAAAGATAACAAGACCCTGAATCATCGTAGCAGTAAGGAAACCCGCAGCAGCAGATGTTCCCTGCCACCCAGCCAAGTTCATCCACCCGGTGATGTAGCTAAGATATTTCGCGTATCGCGGAGGCGCAAGCATGGCGACCCAGTGGTACTGGCCAGCAGCCATCGGGGCGATCGAGACGAGTTCGCAGAGACACGCGAAGGAGCTGAGGACGCCTATCCAGACGAAGATGTAGCCGTATATGAGACCCGCGCTGCCTCCGTTGCTGAGACCGGGAGCGAAGTTCATGAGGGTTCCCTCCCAGGTGACGAGGACGGCGCAGCTGAAGCCTAGAATTGTCCAGCCTCCAAAGTTTCTCTGCATTGTGTCAATTGCGCTTCACGAGGGTCGAGTGGTGTTGTATACCTTGAGGACTGATTTCTTTCCAAGCTTTGCCAATTGCGCATTGTCTATGTGATCCTGATCACTAGACACTGAGGCGTCTTCGACCGTCGATCGGGGATGTTTGGACACAGGCATGTCGTTGAGTTCGTACTGAGTAGCCATATTGATCGTCGTCAAAATGGGCCAGAATTGATAAAAAGAAAGCATGCAGTCTGCGCTGCAAATAAATGACCCTCTAGATGGGGGAGGAGTTGGGGGAAAGGTTAAAAAGAACCTCCGTCTGCAGCAAAAAAGTTAAATACAACCCTCCCCATGCCTGTCAGATATGACAAACAGTTCGGCGAACTTGCATATCCATCCCTGGACGGTATAACACTCGTGGTAACGGTACAGGTGGAACGCGAGTAGAACCACCTGTTGGCGCTACAGCCGAGTAGGGGAGGTATTCCCAACTTGCATGAGACATGCATATCGCGTAGGATGAAACTACGAACGAGAGAGAGTGGACTGAGGTCTGTGACCCTTGTTATCTTCAAGGACGTGCATTGCGCCACACCATTTAAACCATCCCACTTTATTTACAAGGGTTCGGCCCGCGCCCAACGGCAGCATTATCATTTGCTAAAGAGAAATATACCGGTACCTACCGCAATTAAGATCCGAGTGGTCACTCAGTGAGCAACCCCAGCAGCAGGATCAACAAGGGCCTCCTGGCTATTCTGCCGCGCCGCATCCCACGAACGTCCTCCCTTGCCATGATCCGTCACAATGTGCGCAAACTTTTTCACATCCCCCTGCCTGCTCGTCAGCTCGAAAGCCTGCGACCCCGACGTCAGCGTGTGGTTAGACCTAGACTTGTTCCCCGTCCCTCTAGTTGTCCCGCCGCTTTTGCTATTGTTGCTTTTGCTGAGGGCGCCGAAGATGTCGCCGGCGCCCATCTGGCCTGATTCGAGACTCTTGAGGAAGCGCCACCAGAAGGGGATGCAGGTGGTGGTGATACCGACGCACTGGGTTACTTGTACGATGACGGTGGGCTTCCACATTGTGAAGATTGGGGTCGATGATTCGAGGGCTTGTTTGAAGAAGTAGATGTGAGACACGGTGGGAGGGATCATTCTGAGATTTTGTTAGTCTGGGTGGATGCGTGGCGTAGATGACTTACAGAATGCGTGAGCCGAAAACACCAACCACCATTGCTTTTGTGCCTAGCGGCATCTGCAGGTGTACGAGAATTTCGATGGTGACACCTGTGATGAGAAGGTCGGTGATGATGTTGAGAGCATCGACGTATGCCCAGAATGCCACCAGATCGACGCATGAACCGTTGATGTAGTCCCAAGATGATGGTAATGAGCAAGCGAATGCGCGTACGAATATTGCAGAAACGGCCCAGCCTACAATGATGATTTGGATCGGCAGTATCCGCTTGTGAGACAGTGGTGACATATTTCCAACGGTCGTCGTGGCTGAGATCTTCGAAAACGCTAATGCCAGGTAAAATAGAATATCGGACACGAGTTGATCCTGCTACCGTCAGACCAGTCGCACTCATTCGCTGTCAAACTCACCTTCAAAATCAACGATGTTTGCCCAGAAGACACATCAAGCTTTCCCATCCCATTCGCGCCCTGTGAGTAAACCACCGCCGATTGCGCAATAACAAAGATCTAAAATATTAGTAAAGATCGTCAACCATCAAACCTTGACTCCTCACCATCGATACAAAGATCAAAATATCATCCGATTTGAACAGACTCGACCACCGCAATCTCCTCATCGTAGCAATCCGTGTCAGAACGCGAATAAATACCGAAAACATGGTAACAATCATGAGAATCATCGACAGCGCCCGGATAACAGGCGCCTTGTTAAACGGCGTCTCATGCTCACGAGGCAAAAGCATCTCGACGACTTGTGAAAAATTGATGAATTACAGATCAAACACATGAAAGCAGCGCCGAAGAATGGGGTGGATCAGGGTGATAAAGCTTCTCACTGATATCTAATTAACGCAATGATGCGATGGGACCATGGCATGCACTCCCTTGTTTTTTCCTCGACCCTGCGTTCAAGACATGTGTTTCGGGAGCCAACTTATCTCAACCGGGCATACCAGCACTCGATAAGAAACCACCGAGTCCTCTCTGTTCATGCCGCATTAAACTTACAGGTCAACTCCAGAACACGCAACAGTGTTGGTCGGGCAGCTCACAGGATCTCATCCTTTGATATAACCCCTGCGTCAAAGGCATCAGACCCGGAGATTTACTTTGTTCTAAGCCGTTGATTTCAGGGCAGATCCCTGCGCTATCTCATGATTTTTCGGACGCTGGGTGGGATCACAGAGCCAAGATGGGTAAATCCTTCGCTGGGTGGGGGGTCGGGATCAACAGCCGTCGTCGATCTGGGGTCCGGAAACCAATCAAGGGCTCCTCAAAGGTCTCGACCTCAACTGCCGATCCCTTGCCCCTTTCGTGACCGCGTAACAGGGAGGTCAGCCGCGTTTCGGCATCCTCCATTCATCGGACCATGTAAGCTATAGGGGCCATTACAACACCATTTCCCTTCTCTCGTCGTTTGTTTGTTTATGATACCGTGATGCATTGTATATATGCTTTTTTACGAGTGTCGGTTGTGTTTCACGTGTTTAACCGAGACGAGTTTCCCCAGAGAAATATATTGGGCTCGAATTGATATGCTACCTCCTGTAATAAGAGTTTACACTGCTTAAACTTTATTACTAACAGCCCTGTAGATTTCGTACCCTTGCCTTTTTTCCGCGGCCGACGCGGCTACCTGACAGGGAATAGTAGACCTGTCAGTACAGAGTCTATTCCACTGGAATGACATTCCGTCCAAGCTTAGGATTCCATTGCTAATCTATGGAGCCGTCTAGTTCACTTCTAGAAGCTGTATATAAACGGCCCGTCAAGCAAAATTAAGCCTTCAGCGCTGTGGATTCGGCACATGTTAAATCTGACTAAGAGAAACCAACGTCCTCGGCCAAGAGCATTGAATAAGTTAGCAAGTAAATCTCGACTCTCTCGCTTCAGAACCAATCGATCTCGTACACCCTAAGCGACACGAATCTCACGTCTCATGGGATGATCCGGAATACGGATTGCGATAAATGGAACGTCCCGGCAACCGCGGCGTAAGCTCTGCCCAACTGACCACTCAGATCGAATACCACCCGGCAGAAGCAAAACCAGGGGTTACATTTTGCAAGGATGAGTGAGCCGTGTTGATGGGAGGGAGACAAGAAGGTTTTCACTTATGCATGGAACTCACAGGGCATTCAAGCCATCGGATCTACGGACATTAACGGCGCCGAATTGTGGTCTGTTTTAGCAAGAGTTTAGGTTATTTGCTTTTTGGTCACGCAATGCTAAACTTAAAAGCTGTCTCATATCGTTGATTTTTTGTTTAGCAGTGATCGGCAGTTGAATGCTGTTCAGGGATTGGATAAATCAAGGCTCTAGAACTTGAGGGCATCGAGTCCCTTGCGTTCAACCAAAGAGTAAGTTCTGTAGGCGAAAGTTAGGCGAGGAACAGTGTAACGTGTAGTGGTATTTCATAGATATAGCCATTAGATCTCAGGTGTTCTATAATGAAATGTCACCATTTAACGCAATCGTCAAACCATCGTTTGGAATGTCAACGGTGTCTTGTTTATGCATGCGTGAGAATGATGCCAACTCTATCAATGTAACATGGACGATAAGGTTTCATTCGTTCGAGTGCCTATCTCTTCGGTATACTTGTTCCGGTTTCCATCCACGGGCATAAAGTACCATCAAGTCCAAATGCTGTAACCTCGCGAGGTTACCGAAGTTTCTCACTGTGATATCGATCATGGAGAACATGCCACATTGGGACTATTAATCGTCATCCTCGTATGAAGCTCGCTAGTGAATTCAAAGTCATACTTAATTTTATAGCCTGATGGTTTCTGTAGAGCTTGTCGCAAGAATGATTCTTGTGTAAATTCTTAGCCTAGGGTAGTTCGCAGAGAGTTGGTGGGACAAGTATTGTTAGAACGAGTTAGCGAGGTACATTCAAATGGCACTGAAAAGGAGAGCTGCAATGTCACTACTAGCAATTTCCAAACCCCTCACAATTTCCATCTATGTTCTCCCGCGATAGACATTTATCCAAGCATGCTCCTGGAAATATTTTCGTCGCTTGCAGGTAAGCATGGGTATTGTCATCAATCTGAATGCATGCCAATTTTATGTCCCAAAGCTACGGGTTTCTTGGCTGAAGCCAAGCTTTCGAGACATTGCAAATTCTCCGTCCTCTGACCCAATTTTTGCGTGTGGCTATTTATAGATAAGCTTGTGCGGATTTACCCGGCGCCGTTCTCGGCAGTTCGCAAAACCCGTCGCAACGATGGCCGAGGAGGGACAAGTTATTGATCTGGCAGGCATAGACCAACCTGGGGATTAGTCTGAAATAGAAGCAAAAGATGATCGTTCTATTATTACTTGCGCTTTCTAAAGCACGTACATGTCCATAAGCGCCTTGAATGATGCCGTTCCTCCGGCAGATGAGAAAAGCCCCGTCATAATATAGAGAGCACTAGCTGTTGCTTAGAGGGCCCAGCGCTCTGACAAAAAATCCAACCACATAGCGAAATCCACCACCAAATAGCCCACCACCGAAGAGGGGCTACATATCTGAAGCAAAAGTCGGATTTATACCGTGCATACGCCCAGGCGCGCAGTATCTGGCAGGTACTTGGAGTTTGAAGTCCACTTCGGTGCCAGATCGGAGGGCGAGCCCAAAGTCACAGAGAGTTATGGTATCCTGAACAACGAAACTGTCCTTTGGAGACATTGGTGCAACCAATTGCCCCTTCTTCCACATCTCTTGATCCGTGGGAATTCCATTTTCTGAGCGCGACCAAGAATTTGATACTTCACGGATATATCAGCACCAGGCTCAAACGAGGAAAGACCAAACATCACATTGGCACTGTTGAGGTCTGTCAAGAACGGTCGGTTTGCGTGGAGATGATCGTCGAGGAGATAGGACCAACCTCGATGTACCATTCCACCATCGTGCAGTACTTTGAATGCTTGGGGCAGCTGTTTGGCAGCACACCTACGTATGATCGTAGAAGTCTTCCGGGCGTAATCTCTTAGATTGGGGCCCGTGACGGGAAAACGAGAACTCAATGAGGATTGCTGGCGGCGAAGGGCATTAAGAACGTGTCCTCGTAAATTAATAGACGCGAAGTGTCTGTCACACAACTGATGATTTAATTCTGCCTAAGAAATTCTCACTGACCCCCAAAGTCGGCTGTCATGATTTTGAGGTCGACATCTTTTTCTTTGTTCATGTCATGGGCCATCCAGACAGTTGAGAATCCACCATGACCTAGCTTGTGCTCGACATCTGTCTGCGATTACCTCACCGATACAGATGGGGAAGTAAAGCCCTTCTTAATATCGGTCGACGCGTTCGCCTGCGTCTTCGACGTCACACTCACCATTTGAGTCTACGAAGTTGCCCCAGATGGAAGATGAGTCTATGGAATCGATCGCCTCGGAACCTGGCGTAGTTATGGTTGCGACTGTCGATGGTGGATTTGGAAAGGCGGGCTGATTCCTAGGACCGCTGGTGGTGATTGAGAGCGAAACCCAGAAAAACAATTTTCACTTACTTTCGTCCAGCCTTAGGCCATCCCAACTGCATTTCATGTAAGGACTAGCTGAAATATGTTGATTGCCACCAGTTTTACTAGTGCCTCGCGTTACTTGAGCTGTGAGTATTATGGGCTTAAATGCCATTTCTGGACTTATATAAGGCGTTTGAATGTCGGTGGGGGGCGTTCACTACATTAGGTCTATACTGCCAAGCCTCGCATATGTAAAAGAAAGCTCGAGAGAAGGGTAAATCCTTTCTCATACTCTATGGCAGAAGCATAAAGTTCATATACCTTGAGAATAATACATTTAAACGCCCGAGATAAATTCCTCGCCAAGACCAGGCATAACCTCCCAACCCGCTCTTCCAGCTCTGTCCATGTAACCTCCTCCCCAAAGCAAAGCCCTCTCGGTTCCAACACTTCCCCTTTCATGCAGTCGTTGAAGTGAGAGACTAAAGTTCAAATGAAAACAAGATGTGTTCTTCACCGTGGCTGGCTGAAGTGAGGGGTTTGCTCATCTTCTGGGCTAGTGGAAGTGCATTTTGAGCCTGGATCATGGCTGTGGCAGCACCTCGATGATCAATACGGAAATAGATGCACCAAAGAGGCGTACCCTGATAGCGATCTGCATTTCGATGCTTCGGGTAGCCCCTCAGTTTCTTCCGCCCATGCAAATGACTTGCAAAGGGAATGGGAAAATGAATGGAATGTGGCATATTTCCTTTCACAATGCAAACTATGGTTGATATCTAAAATGAAATAGCCAAACCCATTTTCTTGTTCAAGTTCTTCGTTCTTGGATACAATATGTGCTGCTTATGTGCGGGGAAAGCATGCTATACTACCCTACCCGGACCTGTCTGAGACCTCTGAGGCGCATATGCATGGACAGCAAACAAAATGGTCTAGACCGAACGAACGCCACTCTCAACAGACGATCACAGCGGCCACAATCTGAAGTGATCTTAAATAAGCTCAACGTTAAGAATGCGATAGCTTAGAACGGTGAACGACGCAGCTGAGCTGCATGGGATAAAATGTGACGGAACTTGAAAGCCAAGGACGGGGCCTGACAGGCTACCGCATACTACGGCTGAAAGCCCCCAAAGCCCTTCCCCACCGCTATTTGATCTAGTATTGCCAAAGTCGACCGGAAGTCTCGGACAAGACTCCCCGTGTTCGGTTTCTTAGCAATGTAGTCTACTTATATAAAGTGCTACTACATATCAAGAAATTACAAACAACAATTCAGCACAAACATCTGTCACTTCCTATCAAGCACTTGTCATGACCACCTCAACTCCCCCATCCAAAGTCTGGGACCACCAAGTAGACGAACGTGTTAACCACATCGTCGAAAAGCTTGATGAGAACCCCGAATTCGCTCAAAAGAGCGTCCCTGGTCTCAAGGAACTGTTAACCGACTTTGCGGCCCCTGATGTTCTTGTCTCAGGCGAAGATTTTCATCGTCGGCTTCTCCAAGTATTCAAGAACTCAGAGACTGATGGCACTTATTCGCAGACGCTGAGCAAGTACACGCCTGAGGAGCAAGACCATATTAAGAAATTTGTCGCTGGAGCTAGTCCTGAAGCCCTCGGGAAGGACTTTGCCATCGGACCAAGTCTTGGCTGCCGTAAAGAGCTCGAGAAACTCCAGCATGCGGATTCTATTGCTCAAATTACGCCTCATGGAGGCGTAGAGCGTATTACCCCTCCAACTCCCTCTTGCACGCCTCCGGATGACTCTGCAAGCTTTGGTGTTGCCAAGGTCACCAAAGAGGTTGATGGTTGGTTTCACAAAGCTGTTAGCCAGCTGGCAGATTTCTTCGATACTAAGGAAGATAACCAGAAGATCACTGTACGAATAGATCATTCATTAAGGGACATAAAATTAACTGACCATGCTGCAGGTTTACAAGAATGCCCCATTCCAGAATTGGGGACCCAATATCACCAACACTCCCCATCTTACCTACGTCCCTAAAACAAGCGAAGACGTTCAAACAATCGTCAAACTTGCCATAGCTCAAAATCTAAGTGTTCGGTGCTCAGGATATCGTAAGTCTATTCTATCGCTCTGGTACCCAGCTGGCTAATATGTTTTTAATAGGCCATTCGTGGTCGCCCATTTTCGGTAAGGATGGCCAAGTCCTCATCTCAATGCTTGACATCGAGACAGTCACTACCCTTCCTAATTATGCAGCATTACCACTTGCAGAGACAGCGCCCAATGATTTGCAGGTAATTCATGAAGCAAAAACAGGGAACCCTCGAATCGTAGGTAACACCCTTGTTCGTATTAGTTGCGCAGCGACAAATGAAAGACTGCGCCGATAGTACGTTGCGAAAAAGACCGTGACCGTCCCTCTCAACATCATCATAGTTAAGATCACACTCAGCGGTAGCAACGCTCCAATTTGCCATGGTGCAGGCCGTAGAAACATGACACTGAGCGATCTTGTCCGTAAGATCGAATATGTCGATGCACACGGCAACCCTCAGGCGGTTGATGACCCCAAGCAACTTCTTGCAGCGAGTGGCTGTTTTGGTCTCATGGGCGTTGTTACTCACATCACAATGGAGTTTCCACCCATGAGCTATGCGAAACTTGCGCCCCTGAAGATGCCTGTCATCAAGGCAGTGCCTCCACCACCAGGCTTTGATGAGGAGACCATTCCACCAGCTCTTCTCAAGTACTGGACGCCTTTTTCTGCTGCTGAAAAGCACAAATGTCAGGCAGAGTTCGAAAGACGCGCTACCAATGACTATTACGCTGAGTGGTTCTGGTTCCCGTACTCAGACTATTCATGGGTGAACACTTGGGACAACACCATGGATAGTACCGGGGCAGTTTCCTTCCCGGATGATGCTCATATCTGGCTTTCATTCGTGGAAACCGTCACGATGAACATTTTATAGAATGCAGATTTACTACAAGACTTCATTAACGTCACAAACATGTCGGAATCCTACGTCACCCTCATCTCAATGGCTGCCATGAAAGCACTCCCAGAGCAGAACGTCAAGACCTTCCTTCCTGATGCCTTGCACTTCCAGCGAGCAATCCAGAATGTTCGAGTCAGAGATATCGAAGTTGAAATGCCTCTTGTCCAAAGGAAAGGCGCTCCTGAAGACACAATAGACTATGCTCCTGTTCAGCAAGCCTGGTGGGACGCTATCCTTCTTGCCTATGAGAACAGCAAACAATGTCCTATGCGTATGCCTCTTGAAATGCGCATCATGGGCGGCAGCGACGTGATCATGGCACCCCAGCGCGGAAATTCCCTTGGTACGTGTAGCATCGAGGTGTTGACCCTACACAGCGCAGCAGACATTTGGGAACCATTTGCGCAATCGGTCTTGGATAAGTGGATGGCACTCAAGGATCCCTCGACAGGCGAAAGGTTGAAGACTCGCCCTCATTGGGCTAAGGAGTGGCATGGGTACAAGGTTGATGGCAAACCGTGGGTTGAGAGGCTCAAGGCAGTGGATTATAAGGACGAGAGACAAGAGTTTCTTCAGGCGCTTGCTGAAATTGGAAAGAAAGCTGGTTGGTCGTTGCAGGATTTGCAAGAGAGATTCTCGAATGATCTATTCAATGAGTTCTTCTTTGATAAGAAGCCGCAGAACAATTGAGAGAATAGCATTAGCTAGATGAATAGGACAAATAGGAATGCCAAGTATTACATTATTTAATCTTGGAATAGACTCTGTTCTTATCTACAATGAAGTTTAAGACTGTTTGCACAACTCAAGCACACTCAAATCTCTTCTTATCCTCAGAGCTGAGTTCTTGCTACTTTAAACTAAACTGCTGTTCATAGAGGGTTAAGGATTCAGGGAGTGGTCTGAATCAGGGGCTGGCTGAGCAAAAGGGCCGGGTTCACCCCAACGTCGGTGAAGCAATCGGAGATCACCGGCCCGGACTAGTAACTAGGCACCGAGATGGTGTTAGTGAAGGCACTAGAAAAGACCTTATCTTATCTTGATAGCTTAAAGGGCTTGCACGACTCGCATCCACAAGCCCATTACGGAGTACTTATTTATTATTCGTGTCACGTCCCTTGATGGAGGGCTACAACATACATGGGCGCCAATAAACTAGCAGACAGAAACACCAACCAGATCTAACTTTGAACTACTTTTTTTCGAACATACAGCGGAACGGCCAACATTTTACAACCGCCTACCAATTGCCGAACAAATTGAATGAAGGAGCCAGATCCACAAATGCGGGTGCAACACCATTTCTCAGTCACAATTCCACTTCCTCCCAGCCTGCCGCCTCAATTCCTCATTAGCTGGCTTCAGAGATATACGACAACCCTCAAACACAACTTCTCAGTAGTCACATTTGCAGAAATCTCTACTCTGCCAGTCTCAATTGCTGACGATCCGTTCATTGGACCTTATGACGAGACGGTCCGGACATACTATGTCGATGAGGTGTATGCGCTGATCCCTGGGCTCACGGCGCGGATGCAGTGGCCTATTGTTTATAGGTCTATACCTGATGGAGTTCGTCTGCGTGTGTTGGCCATAAATGGCAACATAATTCGGTCGTCATGGATCGTTCGTCCGTGTCGAAACGGTTCGTCTCCAACGGATTCGGGAATTGGCTCTTCGTCTAGTTCAACAGTCACGGAGGACGCTTGGGAACTATATGACGAGGGATACCTGGAGGGCAACAGGTTGTTGATGCCATTCTCTAGTAGATACATTGATATGGTTCACGATATACAGTCCAAAGCCATTGTTGAAGCAGCAACAGTAGACTTTCTTTCTGGGAACAACTAGAAAGCCCTCCATATTTCCCACGATCATTTAGTCAGTCCTATATCGTTAATCTTCACTTTAAATGCTGCTTGTAGACTTGTTTCTAGTCAAAATATCGTTTTACAGTAAGACGTTGTTTTAGTATATGGGGGCTGTTTCCATGACGCTTCATGAAGTCGGGCATAAGCGTCAACCAGGACATCCGGCAGCAAACGCAACGATACACCAAGAAATAGAGACGATGACCCTAATTCCACTGAAATCGCCCATTCCGTGCGTGTCAATCGTGAAGTCCCGAATGCCTGGCCACTGTAGAACACAATGAGGACTTGCCTAACAACGACGAGAAATCTGATAGGTAGGAGGAAGGGGTTCTGAAGCTGCCCTTGAAGATATTGAATTGATTTTCCGGTCGCTGGGGGTTTGATAATGTTGGAGATCCGATACCAAACCAACGCAGTGAATGTGAAAGTGTTTCGCTGTCTTCTGTTATCCGCGGGGTTATGGGTCCTCTGACTTGGCCGAATACCTTCAACCACCCAAGGTGCCTCGACTGTAATATCACTCCTATTGACTCCTTTCGCGAAACCTATGTTGGGAATCTCTATTTCAGGACCATCTTGTGCATTGCTACTAGCCACCGTAACTGTTTCACCCTGCAGCTTAAGGAGCTTGACGAAAAATCTCTTGTCTTCTGGAGAAGCTTGTGCTTATACTATAAGATGAGGTAGTATGGCTTTCTGCGGATGTCTATCTAGAGACCGGAAGACTGGTCCTTCTATTACAATGTCATTGCTGTGAATGATACTATTCTCTTTAGCTACTGCTTGGGCGGTCTCTATGTTGTCGCCCGTTATAATTCGTATAGACATAGCCTTGTGGAACATAAAGGCCACTTTACTTTGATCGTTCCCTTGATTGATGGAAAATGACGCATTAGAATGGAGTGTCACTCACTACCTTTCGCCTGATCGGCAAGCGCTTACTATAGCTAGCGTTAAATAAGCAGGCGGTGATAATGGTCAAGCTTACTGATGATCTTCGGGGAGCGTACGCCGCATTACAGTTGCCCAGGCATCTGCGACATTGTTTCATTGCGCATGTTGTGCAGTCTAATAATATCCGATACCCCTTGCTTCGATTGCATCATTGAGACACTCTAAAGCTTTTACTGGCTCGTCGATCTGCGGCTGTGCTGACGGTTCAGCTATGCGGGGATCAAATCTCGCAGTAATCTGACCACCCAGCAACACCAGGATCAAGGTTACACTTGCTTAGCAGTTACAATCACGGCTGAAAATACTAGGGGAAAAAATGCCAGGAAGTTTTTCTCTTTATATCATACTTCCTTTCGCAATACTCCCCATGAAACTGTCTTAGTTGTTCAAGATAGCACTTTCGGCACAGCTAATAGAATGCGTGAGGAGGTATGTTGACTCAAAGGGTAAGATATTTGAATTCAATACTGATGATATTATAGGATAGCGTCGAGGGCAACGATACTCGGGTAGGGGAGAGCAGAGAGGGATCGAGTGGCGGAGCTTCAGGAGGCACGTTAAGCGCTGACCTACCCGCGTTGCTCAGGAGCCCTGTTGGCCCTCCTCATAGCTGCTAGTCCTACAATTATCTACACGATATTGTGTTTACTTCTATTTTTTATTCTTCGTCTACGCATTCCGAGAATATACTCCCCCAAGAGCATCAACCCATTATATAGGTGAGGAACAACCTCGTAAAAGCCGCCCCGAGATAGTTGTGCTTACTATAATAGGTCATCAATATTTGGACTACCAAGTGGCTGGATCTCTTCTTTTCGTGCCCCAGAATCCTAAATTATTGCTCAATGCTCTTTTGATGGGTTTCTTTTTCTGCGATATCTAAAAGTTTTAAGTCTCATCTGCTTTGTTGGTATTGTCCTCACTTGGCCAGTCATACTCCCAATACATGCGACGGGTTCAGACAGGCCACTTCTCAATTCCCTCACCATAATGAATCTAGTGAACCCGAATCACCTCTATGCTCATGTCGTCATATCCTGGGTATTTACTGGCAAGTTCCTTTTCATATCGAATCTGACAGAACTGACTGGAAGCCAGCCTTTGTCTTATACATCTTGTGGCGGGAAAACCTTTATTATATCAACTTACGACAATTCTACCTCTCACAATCAGGCTACTACGAACGAAGGTCATCAAAAACTATCCTTGTAACCTCAATTCCTGAACACTGTCTGAATAAAAAAGTGTTCGAAAAGCTCTTTGGTCATTCCTTAGTTCGATGTTGGATACCACGAGCCTCACGGCGATTGAGGAGGCTAGTCAAGAAGAGGAAGAAAAGAGCACAGCAATTACAAGACGAAGAAATTGCCCTAATCAATGAAGGTCACCGTGGAAGGCCATCTCGACTACGTTCCTGTCTCCCTAATTTCAACTGGATGAGAAGAACACGACCTAACGAGCCTGATGTGGAGAAGGCTAAACTTCCCGAAAGAACATCTCCAACAACAAAAGATGCCGATATTCAGTCTGGAGTAGTGCAAATCCCGAGTATTGGACATTCCAGCTTTAATTTTGAGCCGCCCAGCCCTGCAGTTAGAAAGATCAAGTCCACTCGATCGAATCTGCACCTCCTCAACCAACAAATCGACAAATTACGCCAGGAATACAAAGCGGGCCAAGGCAAGCACATGAATGCAGCGTTCATCGAATTCGACTCTTTTGCTAATGCTCAAGCCGCATTTCAATCGATTCCACAGCATCAGCCACTTCAAATGTGCCGACAAGTCATAGGAGTCAAACCTGGGGAGATTGTCTGGAGCTGCCTAAGGATAAAATGGTGGGAGAATCTTGTACGAGAATTCGTGCTAGCGATTTTGATAGGGGGATGTGTTGTCGTCTGGATCATGCCACTTGCTATTGCAGAGGGAGTAACATCTACAGCAATGGTAGATAGAGTGCCTGGTGTTTCAAAGCTTCCTCAACTATTGGTCAATGCTATATCTGGCTTGGGATGAGCTCTTCTCATGTGGATTTTACTTGAATTTGTCCCATTTCTCATGCGAGTATGTGCCAAGTTCGCGGGAGTTCCTACTCCGACCGGTATCGAACACTTCGTTCACAAAAGATACTTCATCTTCCAAACACTACAAATCTTTCTGGGTCCAATGATCCGACCTATGCCTTCTGTTTTTTTCAGCGACATCTCTTACTTGCATCAACAGGTGCCCGAGGCTTCTATCCTGTACATGTCATATGTCTTGGTTCGTTGCCTCTCGGCTGGTGCCACTGAGCTCATTCAGCTATGGCAGGTGTTCCTCAACATGGTTCGAAGGAAACGTCCTGGAACACCTCGGACGACCTACAAGAGGTTTTATGAACTCGATGTAGTTCATTGGGGCAGTCTTTATCCCGTCATGACAACTGTTGGGGTTATCGGCAAGTATCTCAAACAACAAAGATATCAGACATCACTAACCTTCTGTAGCCATTAGCTATGCTTGCATTGCACCACTCGTCCTTGTCTTCGCACTAACGGGCATTCGACTTGTATACTTTGTTTATAAGTATACCTTGGTTCATATATATGATACCGAAACTCTGGGTACGACTGGACGATTTTACCCTCGAGCAATAATGCATAAACTACTGGGGCTTTATTTAGCGCAAGCTTATCTCGTTCTGTCGTCATTCAGATATCACGCATGCGGTCAGTTTTCCCTTCTCGTGTCGCTGGCGGCTTTTACTACTTTCACACACCGGTCCCTACGAAAAGCTATGAATGCTCGCATTGATAACTTCAGCACGCTCGATTATGACATCGTATCTGAGAAACGACAGCCAGGCGGAGATACCGCGGCTAGAGGTATCGATCAATACGGATCATCGTCAAACATTGCGACCTCAATAGAGAGCCTGAGGGATCCCACGCCATCAAATTTCCATAAGGGCTTTTGGAACACTCAAAAAAAAGTCAAAATCGTCTGTGTGGAAGCTGGTTCCGCACACCGGCTTTTGAGGACTTTGAGCAGGATGTTTCCCCAGACCATTCCGAAGATGAGTTCATGGCTTTGTACGGGCCAAGTTGCTATCAGCCGCCAGAGACATGGCTTCCGAAACCAAAACTCTGGCTTCCTGAAGATGGTGCTCTTAACAGTTGCCTAACAGCTTCAGATATTGAAGAATCTCTGTCAATATCACACGATGGAGCACAGGTAGATGAAAGAGGTCGAGTGAAGTTCGATCTAGAGCTTATTCCCTTTCATGGCGATCTTTTGTTCTATCGTCATCTTCGTCTTATCCTATAGTTATACAACACAATGACACAAAGTTGAGTAGCGCCTATCGAGCTGGTGCAGTCATTTAACTAACTGCAAAATGTCAGATTTCTATTTGCATTTGCCCTACCGGCCACCTAAATCGGGGAAAAAAATATCGTGTTGTCATTCATTATCTGTGTTTGCAGCCTAAAGCTTAACCTTATAGGCCGCAATTATCCCATAGATAGCCACTTAAGAGAACTGCGAGTTCTCTTGTGAATAGGGTTGTTTTTAGCTACGTGCGCCAATCAGGGATCCTAGCCTCCCTCGCATCTTGACCACGCTGGTCTAAGCTCTCGGCCACAACTGTCAACTGCGAATAACACATCTATCTCCCAGCTTAGACATCATGCATTACAGACTGTACCTAGGACATCTAACCTCTTATGGACTGCAGTAAGTCTGTCACGCTGTTTTTCGGTGTCGGAAACAAGTCGGGAAGCTCAATCTAGAAGTAGTTGAGGATTATCTAAGCTCAGTTGGGCTATTTGCACTACGTACTATCTCTATCTTAAGAGAATCTCATTATCAGTACGCGACCCGAATCATACCCGGCAGCCAGAGTTGACTTAAAGACAGCTGATAACTTGGGGTGATAATTGAAAGGCAGCCAAAGAACGTTCTCGTCATGTTTCACAATCCATTGCCCATTGATCTTGATACAGTGACTGGACCGATCAGAAGCTGGTAAGACAGTTACGCCAATTTGCTCGGCGTTAATATTAGGCATTGGAAATGGTACTTCTAAGTCCAAGATACCGATGTCGGTGTGGAGTTGAGAGTTCGTCCATGAACTAAAAGATAGGTGATAGAGGATTGCCCCGACCTTGATTGAGTGCAGACACGAGCACCGTTCGGAATCCCAGATCCTCACTTCACCATCTAACGAGCTTGATGCGAGATACAGGGCGTCCACCGACAAGGCCACTGATGTTATACGCTCAGTATGTCCCTGGAACACTTCGAGGCTATGCTCTCCAACATTCCAAATTCTGATCGTCCTGTCGTCTAGGCCGGCTGCGAGACGTCGGCTGTCGGCTGAGAGAGCCACTGCGTTTACTTCATCATTATGCCCAAATGTATATAAGCATTCCCCAGTTGCTGCATTCCATATCTTGGCGCCGGTTCCACCTGATACGAGATATTGATCATCTGCCGAGAAGGCCACTGAACGGATGACCCCATCCTCCTCAAATGTATACAGGCATGTACCAGTTATAATATCCCAGACCGTGATTGTACAGTCATTTGAGCATGAGGCTAAGCGAGTGCTATCCGCAGAAAAAGCCAAACAGCTTATTATGCTGCAATGGCCTTTAAGCGTCTGTAGGCACTTTCCTGTTTCCGTATCCCAGATCTTGACAGTAGTATCGGATGATCCTGATGCGACTCGCAAACCATGTGCGGAAATGGCGATAGAGCTCACAGACTCGTCATGATATTCAACTGATAGCTGGCGTGCGTCGATCGATGTAGCCCAGATCCTGACTAAGCCATCCTCTGAGCCTGATATAAGACGACGCCCATCAGCCGTGAAGGCCATAGACGTTACTACACCATTAAAGTCCTTCAAGGTCTGTAGGATTGTACCGTTTGCTGCATCGAAGAGTTTTATCCCGTCCTCGGTCGTTCCTAAAGCAAGGCATTTACCATCCGCTGTAAAGGCTATTATATCCCCGGCATACGAGGAGATTCCCAGTATTAGCGAACTGGAACCTGTGGCCATATCCCAGACTTTGATCGTTTCATCCCTCGAGACTGATGCAAGACGCTTAGCATCTGGCGAGAAGGCTACTGATAGCACTGCGTCATTGTGAGCCTCTAGCGTCTGTAAACATGAGAACAATTTCGCATCCCATATCTTAACCGTACTATCAGCCGATCCTGACACAAGACGCTGGTTATTTGGTGAGAAAGCCACTGAAAAAACGCTGCCAGAGTGGCCCTCAAGAGTCTTCGTACAGTTTCCCGTTTTTGAACTCCAGATCTTGATTGTCCCATCATGACATCCCGATGCCAGATACTGGCCGTCTGGAGAGGAAGCCACTGAGCTCACATGTTCATCGTGACCTCCTAGCGTCTGCCGACATAATCCTGTTTTCGTGTCCCATACTTTGATAGTCTTTGAAGCCGACGCGAGAATTTGTCCATCTTGAAGAAACGTGATAGAGTAGATATCATCACCATGATCCTCATCATGATCCTCAAGAGTATGTCGACACACACCTGTTGCGATATCCCATATTTTGACTGTCTCGTCGCGACTGCTGGATGCAATAAGATGGTTGTCTGGTGAGACGGCCACTAATAAATGTCCACGGCCATGGCCCTCAAGGGTTTGTAGGCAATTATTCCATTTCTTATCCATCTTTGGCTTTAGAGTTATCCAGTCCGGCTCTTCATGTTTGAATACCTCTCGAATGAGGCTAGATTCTGGACTAAAGATTAGTGCTGAGTCATATGCTTGCAATGGAGCAATCTCGATAGCTCGCTTATGGGTGAGAATAAAACGGCGCGCATCTTCGAGAAGTCTTCTCACTGGGTCAGTCGCCTTGAATGTCTGGGTATGATTGTTAGATTATTTCCAAGATGTGCTCCGGACAACTCACAGTAGCCAGATCCTCGAGCTCATATATGGCCTTCACCCCCTCTACTGTAGTACCCAGCAGACTGAGAGCTTCTAGCCAATACAGATACTTATTCTGGATGAATACGTGAATATCACCACCGCTTGCCAAACTATCGTTGAGCTTGGTGGAGTCAGAGTCTTTGAGATGATCTACCCAATAAACGCAAGAGTATCCGATGGGATCCAGTGGCTTGAGAACATCTGCTGAGACATCATTGATACTAAACCCTGGATGGCCCAGTTGGCAGATATCACGTCTCAGAGTCTTCGATAGTGTCTGTAATGACCTTTTGAAGATCAATTCATGTTGATATGGAAGACCTGAGGGTGAAACTTGTTCTAACGCCTTTTTCACCAAGAAGTCTTTGGCCGACTGATGCAGAAAATAGATAGCAACCCCCCGAAGTGTCAGGAAGGAACCACAACAACCGACAACTTCTTTCAGGTCACCATCCTCATCCTCGTACTGTGACCCCAGAAGAGTTTTCAACTCTGTCAAGGTAATTGGTCTATACACAACAGAAGCAAGAGCCAGTATCTCTTTGCATATCTCTGCATCTCGTGATTGATTGATATGTCCCATCATTCTTCCGTACAGTGGGTCAAGTCCCTTTGGGAATTCCTCCAATGTGTCGCGGGTATGACGTTTGCGGAGAACCTTGATATCCGAGAGCCCCTGACAAACCAAAGCGACCCATAGAAACGTGCCATGAGCATTCTCAGCTAAATAGCTCTTAACCTCGCTTTTGAATTCTGTGTCATATCCCTTTTTCGCGGCCAACTCCTCTACCTTCCAGTCGATGAAAGCCTCAACGGCCTTGGAAACTGAGTCTTGATTCAACTCAAGATGTAGCCTGACTTTCTGCGTGGAACGCTCTAGGACCTGTTCGATGTCCGGCCAGTTGCGGCTAGTCACGATCCACTTGACATTGCTAGACCTGATGATCAAGTCAAGAAGGTTTTCTTGGTCTGTAATACACTCATCAAGAGCGTCAACAATCAAGAGTACGCGATCCAGTAATGGGTCCACGAGCATTGCCATGAAGATCTTGGACAGAGCTTGCCATGCATTCCCATCCTCAAAGAGCTGCTTGCCGGTATGGTCATACTTCTCTTCGATGTAAGAGAAAAGCGGAGGACATTGAACAAGAAGAAGGTAGATCAGACCGCGTAGCACGGCTGTCGCGTTGCTTAATCGTGCTTCAGTAGCTTGGCAAAAGAAGTAGGACAAAAGGCTGCGGTGTTGTTTCTCAAGCTCATCGATAAGTCCACATAATAACATTGTTTTACCCTTGCCAGGGTCGCCTTTGATCCAGAGGAGCTGACTCTGTGAAGCGTTATACCATTGTTGAAATTTGTCGTTTTTGAGAATCCAGCGGTATGCATCTTTGAACAGACCGCCCTTGGTTTCTTCGATACGGCTCTTGTCATCACGAGGGTCGGTTTCGCGTAGATCGCGCAGACATTTGTCGTACTTTTCCTTCTGAGGCCAGTATTCCTGCCTCCGAACACTCTCTGGTGTGGTTGGAGGGATTCCTTCTGCAGAAGGAAGCTTTTCGAGGAATTCTCTTGCAAATGCGGCCGCGGTGGCAGCAGCATATTCCTGCCATTCCTTGCTCTTGTGAGAGTCGGAATAATCACAGATGCCCCGTACTGACAGGCAGGGACCAAGATCAGGGAGGCCAGCCGCCTCCATTTCAAAACAGATAGCATTCAGTTCCTGGGCGATCTTATCGCGAATTGCTGAGTCTTTGATAACTTGATTGCCTGAGGCGATAGTACCATAATGGATGTATGGATCATTTGAACTCCGCTCGCATCTCTGTACCAGTTCTAAAGGGCTGCATTCATCGCAGCTTGACGCTTGAGAGCTGTGTTGATATGTTGCACAGAAGAGACGATCTGCTGTAGTTGGACGGGCGTAGTTCGGAAGCTCACAGAACTTATCCTGTAATATGAGGGGAATTCGACTGCTGTGAGGCTGATGTGCCGATCTTAGGACTGATAAAGCTTTACCAACCAGGTGTGATAAAGTCCTTGGGACTGCAGTATGTTGAATTTGACCATCTGTGCCAATCTTCATGAGGTCGTGCTGCACCACTTGCGTACCAACAACTATGTCGCCTAACCGAATGTCATAGTTTTCGCGTGGAACCCCGCCGCCGATTCCAACCATGAGGCTAAGATAAATCGATGTAAAGGTGCGGGTAAGATGAGTCAACACGTTAACCGCGTTGTTCGTTCCATATCCGTCAATTGGCAAACACGCAATAACGATGTTGTGGCACCCTATGCTTCCAAGGATGTACGAATTGGTATCGTTTTTAGGCCTGCACAAGCGTTCATGGACGTCGTCCAACACAGCTTCTGCTGCGGCCATTTCTTTTGGCAGTGCACATATCCAGGCGATCTCATATTGTTCATGGGAAGCCGGAGATCTCTTTTTCGATTTGTGCTCTCTGTGCTCTAGATCACTCCTCAGTGTCAAGCGTCGTTTCAGAGGCTGATAAGCCATGATGCCGAAGTGGGTTGAGCACTGAGAACGTGTAGGTGTATTGCGCCGGAGCGATTTCCAATGGTGTGAGTAGACAGAGGTCCTTTGCACACGTTGCTAGAAGATGTAGGCGCTGTGGAGTTGGAGAAATAAAAGCAAGATAATCAGAACGAAGCAACAGATGTCAGACGGAAAGGCGGTGGAGAGGGGTTCTGAGAATCTGCATGTCTCAAAGGCACAGCCACCGCCTGATTTTTGAGGCCCCAAGAATGTGCAAGAGGATGGTGAATCTGATAGGCCCGCACAGATATCCCTGTCTCAAACATGAGGCTGGCGCTTTTGATGTCCAAGCAACGGGATGGTAAATCTTAAGACCTTCATTCTAGGTGACAAAAAGCCTTAGACAAACTTGTGTAAGTTAAGCATCATCTAGTATAGATTTAGAAGATCTTAGACTAAGTATTTTTAGTATCTCAATTTAATATCAGAAGTCTTCTTACCTTCCGGGGCCAACCTATCTGTGCCAATTCAATACATAGCTTACAACGCCCTTCTGAGGCTTCTTTACCCGATGCCTAGTTTGTTGTTGTGATTCTAGGAGTAAGTTAACTGCCTTTAATTCTATTATGTTGGCTGTGAGCTGGTAGCACTGATGCGGATTAGCTGTTGCCGCGGTTCTCAGGTAAAAAGATAACTTGATTGTATGCGTGTCTCAATCAACGCGGCGCCCAAGTACGTCACTTACTAACTTTCATCCATCAATTTGATAGTGTCTATTTTAGTGGTGGACTCGCTCCTCACTATCTGGTGTTGATAGCAAGATAAGCTTCAGGCCACTTATGGGCTCCGCCATACTATGGCGTGGGTCAGGGCGACTGGGAGACTGGAGCGTAAGTCTGAGCACGCTAAATGGCTTGAGTCAGGGACCAATGGGCCCCCCGAATGCGGACGTATTTAGCTCTTGCTTCCCCACAAGCCAGCTCTGACCATGCTCTTACATACACTTCTCATGGCGCTCGTTTCGCGATATCACAGCGGCTTCCTCCAAATTGTGAGATATTAACAGCCATTTCTAGTTGCGTATCTAGGAAGCTCAAAATGCCCAGCGGGGCTCGATCACGTAGCGGATGCGCCGCATGCAAGTCCCAGCGGGTAAATACAGTCGCGAAACCATTGACGGCCATGCACAAACAGCTGACAGATTCATGACAGTTAAAGTGCGATGAAGCATGGCCGTCTTGCGGGAGATGTACTCGCCTCGACATGAATTGCTCTGGGCCCATTATCCGTCTCAGATGGTCACAAAAACACCAAGCACATCCTGATAACAGAGTCCAAAAGAGAACAAAGCAAAGTCTACAGCCATCGACGACCAGACACTCTGCCATTCCAGATCAGTCGGAAGTCGCTCCCCAGGACTTTTCGTTGCCGGCAGTGTTTAACACTTCGGAGGGCGATGGAAACTTTACATTTTCGCCTAGCTACGGCGATGATGGGTGGATCGACGAAGCGTTTGGAGGCATGATGCCGGAACTCATGTCATTTGGTCTCATACGAAATCCTACCACGACATCAATCCAAACGCCCGAACTTCTGCGAATGGTAGACGAATGCAGTCCAAAGGGATCATCGCAACACCAGGACGAGATCTTAGCAACACCCATGGCAACTTTACCACTTGATACGAATCGACCGCAAACCGTCTCATCTCAATCGGTGCAGGTCGTGGAGACGCCTCACCCTTACACTTCAACAATTGTCGATCGACCTTTTAACGATTACAGCACCATTCTCGTCGAATACTACTTCAAAGACACCGCCGCTATACTCGCCCTATACGACAGCGAGATGAACCCATTCCGTTCAACCGTATCTCGCGCATGGGCATCCTCCGAGCTTATATACTGCACACTGCAGAGTATGGCCGCCTCATTTCTCTCCAATATCTATCCTCAGTTGCTAAATACGGGACTGTACTTTCGCCAAAGGGCAATTCGACTTCTCGATGACCTTGACGATTCTGCAATCCATGAACAGGCGCTGATTGCATTGTTCATGATCGGTGGAACAGCTAGTTGGTTTGACGTCAACGACACGGGCTTCGAGTATTTTCCCCGGCTTAAGAAACATGTACAGAGTCTCAAGACTTCTGGTCGCATGTCGCCGACGGGGCATAGCCAAGCCTTTTTCGAGAATACGTTGGCGTGCTGGGAAATGTTCTTGGCCTTTGTGGTGGATGAAGATGAGAACGAAGGTTTCGACTCGCCGCATCTACCGCTATTGTAAGTTCACTGGGAATCACTACTGAATGGTTTCTAACTCAATTAGACCGGCAGATCCGGATCCAGAACCTGGATCGATCTTCCCTGTGGTCCAGATACCCCATCCTGTAACAGGAGTCGCTCACGAGATCCATACAACTCTCGCACGGGTCGGTCGATTGGTCCGAAGAAATCGTCGTCGTGCCATGTCCAAACAGTTCCTCACACGAGAGAGTATCTTGGAAGCGCATCGCGAAGTTGATGAAGCAGCGGAATTGGAGATGTTTCTCACTAACCTTCAAGTTCCGTTAGAGTCCGCCATAGTGCAAACGGGTGACTCACAAACACCGACCTGGCATCTCACAGCCTTAGCAGAAGTATATCGCTTTGTTGGCCTTATTCAGCTGTATCACGTATTTCCTGATACTCTTGTATCGAGGATGAACCTGCAGAACTCACATGCTGGGTGTGAAACCGTTCCGGTATCTGCGCATGAAGCGGAGGAGAGATTGAGACAGTTCACGCTCAAGGCCGTCGAGATCCTTCGCTCAATACCTGCTGAGTCCGGGACTAAGGACTTTCATCCATTCCTGATCGTCGCAGTCTGCAGTGCACTTACAATTCCTGTAGTCGAAATGTCGGCTTCTCCCCAGAGCATGTCGGGTTTGGGGAACTCGTTGGCTCTAGTGGCGGCTGATGTTCATCGGGCCAGGGGATTTTTGAGAGGTCGACTACAACTGCTTTTGCATTCTCTCCCCAAGAACCCAATTCAGCGTTGTATTGACATTGTTGAAGCTACTTGGGCGGAGACTGATAATCGTTCTGGGAGTTCAGGAAGACCTGCATATTGGATGGATGTGATGATGCAGAACAATTGGGAGACTTTTATGGCATGATCGACACTGACACCTATGCGAAAGATGAATAGTAATTACTAGCCATTGTTTTCGCGAGGGGAATGCGAAATGCCTCAATTCAGAGATGTCTCGGCCGCTTAATCTAACTGTAATCGGCGCAGAATGTGACATGACACAAGGAAGCAATGTGATTGTCACAACACAGATCGTGTCTCCAGTGGATTCAGAGCCAGGACAGAGGGCGACTAGCCTGGAATGTCCTGTTTTAGTAGGTCGTTACGATTGTGCTCCGCTATACGAACCGCCCAGTCACAACTCACATGCTTATCGACCCAGGCGGTCATTTCGACGTTCGGTAGAGAAAAAGCTCGCCTATATAATTAACCATAAATAAAGCCCTTGTTATTTTAGCGGAAATACCAGAGGCCCAAGTCAGCGAAATTAGTCAACGATCATGAGAATCAACCAAGTGCTCCCAATTCTTTCACTCGTTGGTTTGACAGTTGGCTGCAATCATCAGCACGACGATAAGAAATGGACAGCTGAAGAGTTAGCCGAGCTGGAGGCAAAATGGGGCTTCGACGTAAGGTCTTCTACCCCATACTTCCCCAAACATCGTGACTTACAATTAGACAGTGGGCCTTCGGTGGCATTGGAACATTCGCGCACCTCAATCATGTCAAATGCCTTACAGAGCCAACCGAACCTTATGACATCGCCATTATTGGCGCTCCATTTGACACCGCTGTGACGTATCGACCTGGCGCACGATTTGGTCCACGAAGCATTCGTCACGCCTCAGGGCGTCAGCACTCCCTCCGCGGCTACAATCCTAGAGCAGACATCAATCCATATCAAAACTGGGCTAAGATTGTAGATTGCGGGGATATCCCTATAACACCCATCGATAATGAGATCGCCCAGAAGCAGATGACGCAGGCGCTGGCGCAATTGGGAATGCGCAGAACTGTATCGTCTATATCCTCCAAGCCAAAACTTTTTACGCTCGGTGGCGACCATAGCTTGACTTTGCCTGCACTTCGAGCATTGAAGAAGGTGTATGGAGATCGCGAGATCCAAGTGCTTCATTTCGATGGTATGGAACCCCGTCTAGATACGCATGTTCCTTGCTAACGCATACCCGTAGCACATCTTGACACATGGAACCCTCACGCATACCCCTCTTACTGGGGTACAACACCTTTCAACCATGGATCCATGTTCTGGCTAGCCAACCAAGAAGGCCTACTCTCCAACTCATCATCCCATCCTTCCGTACACGCAGGCTTGCGAACACGACTCACTGGTATAGAAGACAACGAAGACGATACTGCGCAGAACTGGATCCGGTTCTCAGCTGATGACATCGACAAGATTGGCACTCAAGGTATAATCGATGGCATAATGAAGACTCTAGGCACCGAGAACCTGGTGTATCTCTCGGTGGATATTGACGTTCTCGACCCAGCCTTTGCGCCCGGAACAGGCACGCCAGAGCCAGGTGGTTGGTCTACGAGAGAGTTTATAAATATCCTTAGGGGCATCGAGGGTTTGAACTTGGTTGGCGCTGATGTCGTGGAGGTTTCGCCTATCTATCAGGGGGCAGGTGAAGAGACGACATTCGCAGCTGCGCAAGTCGTATACGAGATCTTGACGTCTATGGTCAAGAGAGGATTACAGGATCTAGGAAGGTCGGACAAGGCTAGTAAGGATGAGCTATGATTATGTTTGCTCAACAGATTGTTATATACAAAGAAATGATCCATCAAAGAATCCCAACTGTTAAAGGCAAGGCTTGGAATTTCCATACAGCCATGGAGCTTGGCTTATCCTGTATTTAGTACAAGATGAGTAAGCATACTTTAATCGTCAAGAAGAGTATTACGACCTATTTAACCCTGACTTCCTTGCATTTTATTGTGTTTCACACTTCAGGAATAATCGAAACCACGAAGAAAAGCTGTTTAGAGGGGTTGCTGTAGGGTAGGCATTACCTTCAAGGCTTCAGCAAACTGCTTGCTCGAACGATAACAGCATTGGACCAAACTCACAGTAGCTTAAAATGCTCAATGCAGCCAGTCTAACCTTCAAACACACTCAGTGCCGTGGGACGGCGCCTCTGGCCCAGAATGTTGCACTGGCAAGCCAACGAATTCGCGTAACGATCGACACAAGAATTACCCTTTTAAGCTATCCTAGGCGGTCCCGCATTTCCAGTAGCGTAAGCGGTCCAAGCCCCACTTCTTCGCGATCCGTTCAAAGCCTGTTGCAAGTCTTGCTCCATTTGGCAAAACGAAGCTAGTCTGCGGGCTCAACGTCCAAGTGAGCTGATGGAAAGCCAAGCCAATCGAGCTGGATGAGCTGAAAAGATAGCAGATACGAGCGAGACGACGCCCATGATTGACTAGCCAAGCACCCTTTCGACCTGGCGTGACACATATCTTGGACCAGCAGCAAACGAATGTGCCGGTGGCAAAGACATCGCACCAGCCAAATGAACGCTTATCACATTAGCCCACCTCACACATCCCCTTCATCTCCCCGGTTAGAACCCAACAAAGAACCTCAATAATGGATCTTGGACTTGGCCTCCAAGGCGATGTGGTGGTGGTGACAGGAGCAGGTGGTCAAATAGGCCAGGTCATAGTCGAAGCCTTTCTGAGCGCTGGCTGTTTCGTCGGCGGCTTTGACATCGACAAGTCCAAGTTTGTCAAGGAGCATGACAATCTCTTCTGGGTTGCGGTCGACACCACCGACGAAGAGGGCATGATTGCCGCATGGAAAAGCGTCGAGGAGCGGTTTCATGCGACTCCGACGATTTGCGTCTGCGCAGCTGCAGTTGATCTCAGCTTCATCGAGCATCATTCATCTATTACCAAGATGCCGGCCAGTCAATTTCGCAGAACTCTCGATATAGTAGGTTCAATTAATTACTCGTCGGTTTGGAGATAGCCTCTAATTATTAAGTAGAACACAACAGGAACTTTTATAACGGCAAAAATATGGCTTCAACACGTGGAGATGGTGATCAAGAGGAGTGATGCGAGACCAAACGGCGTAAATGGCTCGCATACAACAACATCGATATTATCAGACAACAAAACAAAAAACATCTCGTTGATAATCATCGGTTCAGAGGCTGGAGACTTTGGAGTCGTCGGCAACCCAGACTATGCAGCAAGCAAAGCTGCAGTTCAATTCGGTCTCGTACTATCTCTAGCTCCAGATGCTGCTCGAGTTCACCCATCGGCGAGAGTCAATTCCATTTCCCCTGGAGCTGTAGATACCCAGAGATTCAGTGTAGAGTGCGCAGAGGACAGCTCCGGTGCGCTTAGGTGGATCGAGTCCGAAGCGACGGTTCCTCAGAAGAAGGCGGTGGATGTAGAGGGTATTGCCAAGATGTGTTTGGTGCTGGCGAGTGAGAAGTGGTCTCCTTCAGTTACTGGCCAGAATTTAAGGCTGAATGGCGGGAAGAGCGGGAAGCTTTTCTGGAGTCAGAATGGTGATGCTTTGTGGTGATAATGGATAGCCAGATATGTATTGACATTGAACAATTTTCCTGGACACAATTAGCGACAACTGAAAAGAACGAGATACAACTGTAATCAATCGTTTAGACTTGACCCATAATTTTAAAGGGCTTGGATTGACAGGTCAACAAGAGAGTCGCGCTCGTTCATATAGAAAACAACATTGCAAGTTCATTTACAAGTCTAATAAGTTACTGGATTTATGAGCCAGGCGTCCTTGCCTTCCAAGCCTTCGCCACATCTGTCATGCAGTCAAAAGTAATTTCCCCTCCAGCAGCGCTACCAGCCTTTGCCTTGAGCTTCGCGACAAATTTGTCAATCATGCCAATGACATGCGACCTCCCAGCACACTCCGGATGGAGGATGAGAGGGAAGATAGATCCATATCCAGCGCCAGGACCTTCATCTACAAAACTCTCATTTTCCCACAGCCATTCAAAGCGGTCCATCCACATCTTCTCTATGACATCTGTACTCACGTAGCCTTGGGTCGTTGCCGAGTGCGGGTAGAAGCATAGAGGCGTAGCGTCCTCGGTGTACCAACTACCTGGAATCTCTACCAAGGACGATTCCGCTTCCTGCGATCCGGGCTCAGGTTGCTCGGTGAATGCTATTGGCTTCATCCATGTGCTAGCAGGTTGACTATAATCTGGAATTGCTGGCTTGCCCTCCGCAAAGGTCTTGGGGAGAAAGTATGGCAGACTGTCGTGGGAATTCAGGCTAGCATCGTACAGAAACCCGTACTCTTCCAATAGGCGAACTGTTGACTCCCTGATCTCGTATAAGGGTGCACGGTACCCCACGGGTTTCTTCCCCTCGCGGAGGGAAGTGGCTAGTTCGATGCACTTCATGAGGATATCTCTTTCTTGTTGTTCAGACAACGAGTATGCACTTTCATGGCTGTACCCATGTAGGCCAATCTCAGCGCCGCTTGCAACAATGGCCTGTGTCTGTCGGGGGTAGCTTTCCATGGAGTGACCTGGGATGAACCACGAGACATGCTGAGATATGCCATGCTTGCTGAAAACCCTCAATAGTCTATCGACACCGACGTTGCCGCCAAAGTGGGCAGCCGAGTAGTCGGCGAGTTTGTTCTCTGGAACATGACCAGTTCCGATCAACCCCGAGACCGCGTCAAAGTCAACAGAGAGGCAGATTCTTAATCTTCGGCGCCTCTCAGGGGGATCGGAGGCGGTTGGTAAGACCAATCTCTGCGTCAAAGAACCGCTGGCGGTCTTGGCTTGAAGCTCATCTTGCGCCTCTCTCCATAGCAAGCGGCCTTCTTGGCCCCCATCAACAGATATACACTGGCCGGTAATGTGGCCTGCAGCTCTATGAGATGCTAGAAACGCCATGCAACGAGCTGCATCACTGGGCTCAGCAATCTTGCGGAGCGCGACAGTCGCTTCTGCCTCAGCCCATCTCTCCTTCGGGTCATCCAGTCGGTCTCCTATCAATGGAGTGTTGATCCAACCAGGCGCAACAGCGTTGATACGACCTTTAGAATTGAGCTTGACGATCTCGTTTTTGACAGTCTTCACAAGTCCATATTGGAGACCTGCCTTGCCCGACGCATATTCAGCGTGGCCGGCCTGGCCAAAGACACCTGTTTCGGAGCCGGTGACTACAATAGCGACGTTGTCCAACTCCTTGCCAGATACTTCTTGCGCCTGCTTTACAGAGCGAAGGAAGTGCTTGATGGTCAGAAAGGTTCCTCGGACATTGACGGAGTAGACTGCATCCCATCTCTCTGTATCAATATCCCAGATTGATGGATGGCTGCTCTCGTCTGTGATGGCAGCGTTGGCAATCAGGATTTGGACTGGGCCAAAGTTGTTGGTGGCTTCTTCAAAGGCCTGCGCAATGGATGATTCGGTTCTCAAGTCGCCCGAAATATGGTGCAGTCTCGTCTTCTGCTCCTCTGAAATAGATAGGGCCTCGATGTTCAGCGGGTTTCTATCGAAAGAAGTGACCCGGCATCCGTTGGCTGGTCCCGAATATTAGCTAGAGCAAATGGAATTGGTGCTCACTGATTGACGACTTACCCAGAAATTCTGTGACAACGGCTCCGCCGACCCCTCCGGCCGCTCCCGTGACAAACACATGGCAGCTTTCAAGGCCGAGAAACGTCGAAGATGAGACCTGCAGAGACATTTCCAAGGCGTGGTATTGCTGAGAAGCGAACAGTCGATTCGGTGTACCTGTTACTGGCCAGGTCGCTTCAAATACACATCTCGAATCGTAGAGATGCCCAAGAGGGGAGAAATGAATATACCGAATCAGTTACGTCAGGTTTCTTCTACATCCACTGCCCTGTGACACTAAAACATGGTTAAGACTTGACGTTGGTAGCCTTATAGGGAAAGACGGGGCGGCTGACATCTACACTCGGGGTCGTTGTATCACCCACCGACCATCAGCGAACTTCCCCGCGCTGGCCTGGCACCGGGGCTGCTTTCAACGGGAAAGAATGGTTCGATAAGTCGGCAATAGATAAGGCCAATCCTATACTAGTAATTCCTGGCTAGACCTAGCTTTAACTTTATGGCAACTTAGACATCTAAGACCTAGATTGTGATACGTGCCCGTAATCCTTAGAGTCCTTTATCGCTATTGTTATTCCCCTGCCCGATTCGTGGATGCGCGTCGTAATAACGCTATAGATAAGGCCATGCTTTGAATGAACGTAAATCTTCTCATAAGACGCCTGGAGAGGACTCTCGTTGTCACTTGAAGTTCTAACTTATCACTCTCAATCAAGTCTATCTTCTCAATAAAAATCGATTACAATGGAAGAGAACAAATCTCCCGGAGAGAAACATGCAGACAGCACGGCTACCTCAGATAACCACGATGGCTGTTCTATTGTCGCAGAGCATACCCGAGAGGTACCAGTTAGCTTCGGCCTGCTGTCCCTCACAGGTCTAGGCATCATCATAGGAGTTGTCTGGCCTGCTTCCGGTGGTTCAATCCAAGTTGCTATCTTCAATGGCGGATCTCCAGGTACGTTGCATACTACTCGCGGTAGATTCACAGCAACTAACACAGCTAAAGGCGTACTATACGAGTTCATCGTCGTATCCTTCTTCTACTTCTTCGTCGCCACATCCCTGGCCGAGCTTGCCAGTGCCATGCCCTCCAGCGCGGGCGTATACTACTGGGCCTCTGTCACCCCAGGCAAACGATATGGCCGTGTAGTTGGCTTCTTCGCCGGCTGGTGGAATTATCTAGGCTGGATATGCGCTGGTGCAAGTATGGCTGCGATATGGAGCAACAGCATCATCCAGATCTATGCACTAAAGCATCCCGATTACATCGTGAAAGAAGTTCATGTCTTTGTGGTATTTGTCATTTCCACGTGGCTCGCCTGCTTCTCAGTCTGTTTCGCTGGTCGGGCAATGCCTCTTCTCAACCAATTCGGCATCTACTGGCTCCTGATCGGTCTGCTAATAACCATCGTGGTTCTTGTAGCTGTACCTCTTCGAGGTGGAGGAAGCGGCCATGCAACTTCTTCCTTTGTATGGCTTGAGTGGCAAGCAGACCTCGGTTATCCTAACGTTATAGTGTTCCTTTGCGGCATGTTAAACGGTGCTTACAGTGTTGGCTGCCCTGCAGCTGTAAGTCATCTGGCTGAGGAGATACCCCGTCCGCAGAGGAATGTGCCTCTTGCAATGGGCCTTCAGGTTATTACGGGTTTCATCACAGGCTTCTCATATCTGATCGCTCTCATGTATTCCGTCCATAGCTACGACAGGATCTTCGCGAGCCAATTCCCCCTTGCCGAGATTTACCTTCAAGCTACTGGATCAGCTGATAGAACGATCTGCCTCCTGGTCCTCATGCAGATATGTATTGGACTGACCATCGTCGGTCTTTACATCACGTGTGGACGAACCTTGTGGACATTGAGCCGTGACGGGGCAACGCCATGGCCATCAGTCTTTTCCAAATTCAACCTCAAGTTCGACGCACCCATCAATGCAACCATGGCTTCTGCGGTACTTGTAACCTTGGTGGGATGCATTTACATCGCTAGCAAGACAGCGTTCAACGCTATTATCGGTTCCTTCGTACTTATGTCGTCGTCAGCATACACCGCAGCTGTCCTGCCTCATCTTCTCACAGGGCGAAGAAATGTCGTTTATGGACCGATACGCATGGGTAGAAAGCTGGGTCTCGTGGTCAACACGATTGCGAGCGCATATATGGTGATTGCTTTTGTTATTTACTGCTTACCCTTTTCCTTACCCGTCACTGCTCAGAATATGAACTATGCCTGTTTGGTTTGGGGTGGCTCGACTTTGCTGCTGGGTATCTACTGGTTATGGAAGGGGAGGCATGGGTATACAGGACCTATCAGGGAGTCTGAGGGAGGCCAATAACTGATCTTGAGGCACCATGATACTGATAAGGAAGCCCATAATAGAAAGTGGTTGTCGAGAGTATAGATCTTGCTTTGACCACTATTGGCAGTTACATGAGAATCCTCACTCCGTTGTCCTGCCTGTGAATGATCCGGCTCTCACTTCTTCTTTACCAGAATTAGTGCAACAGCCATCTTGGCCGCCAAGGCTGTCAACTCAATTGGCTTTCCATTCCCTTCCAACATCTGGCGAACTTTACCCATTAGGATCCGAGCGGGATCCTTTTCTGTCCCGACGAGCTCTGGATTCCCTTTCTGCCAGCGACTTAATGAACCGAATGTTCCTACTAATCTCTCCATTCTTTGGACTTGCTTGTCCACGGACTCATCACTATTGCCCTCGCTCCTGTCCTTTCTACCTGTATTAGCAACGAAGCCATCATCAGCAGTAAGTACATGGCGGGCAGATGCTTGCTGATCGTAAAACTTGGAAGTATCGGGATTATCCCAAGGCATGGGCAAATCGACATATCCGCTTTGAGTAAGATGAGTACCTGCCCTTGAGTAAGGGGCAAGAGCATCCAGAAAGTCATTAAAGATGGATTGAAGCTCGTTGTTATTATTAAATGAACCTATACAATGTCCATTAGCATAGTGTAAAGGCTGGTGAGAATTCCTGCGTACCCGGTTGTCTGAACACAGTCCATATCGCGATAGTCCCTCCTGGTTTCAACACCTTGGCTGCTGCAGCCCAGAATCGCGGCATATCGAACCAGTGAGCCTGGAGACTGTTATTAATACAATTGGATTTAGAAAGACATACATACCGCAGTCGCAGCTGTTATCATATCGACAGAGCTCTGGAGAATGCCATTGATCTTATCAATGTCTTCTGCTGTGCTCAATTTGTATACGATTGGACCGCCACTGCGAGTTCTTCCTCCAAGTTCAGTAGCTGTTCTGATCATACTCTCTCCCGGATCAACGCCGTAAGCTAGATCAAAGTGCGGCGCAAGCTTTTGAGTCGCGGTCCCTGGTCCACAACCGACATCCAATACACACGCGGTCTCGCCATTGGTCGATCTGTGATAGTTGAGGATGAAGTCGATAAGGGCGTCGGTGTATCCGAGTCTCCCCGCAGCGTAGTCAGAAGCTTGGTCGGTAGTGTAGTTTCGGAACGTGACGTCCCGCGGCTCCAATATCTCCGATGTCATGGTTGATAGCGTCGTCAGGAAATCTGCTCTGTGTAGTGTTTTACAGTACATTCATGGATCTCCACTCAGGCGGGGAACATTTTTATAAGCCTCTTGGGCCGGGCATCGGGAAACATAGTAAGCACCGGCTCCGAGTAGATGACGTACCCAAAAAGGTGACACCGCTCCCAACGATATACCATTCCATCGCTCTTGACGTTTCAGTCACATATCTGTTGATAGTTGAAGACTAATTGCCCGAGTAATTAGCTGCGGTGGCCAGATCATTCAATGCTAACAAATGGTGTTGTTACGATTGCGCTTATCAGAACACCTCAGTGCGCGCCATAAGTACAAGATGATCACCACGCTTCATGACCACGTCAGCCGAGCTTTTTACAAGTCGAAATAAGAATGCAACAGTTATGCTGAGGATAAAATAGGAAAAAAACACTTTATAACCGTAAAAGAAGGCTAATACCATAATTATCGCTAGTGAGTAGGCTATTGTGCCACTAATCCACACTATTCAATTCTGTAACCGAATGTCGCTATAATCATCAATAGCCTCAAGCCAATTTCAGCTCTCGATTCAAAAAGAAATGAAATTCCTCTCAGGGGAGAGCGCCACCAGAAAAACATGCATGTGATAAATAGAAAGTGCCCCTATTGATTCCTTGCTCCCGATTCCTTTCTCTCTAATCTCTATATTGTCAATTTTTTGACGTCCGATCGTTACCATCCGTCTTACTCTCTGGCAGTGACCATGGTCGCCATTCACTCTTTTATCATCCTCTCTGCTGCGGTCGGCATTGCGTCTGCTGGAAAATGCAAGCCTGAAAGCCGTTCAGGCTCCATCGTGCCAGTGGCAAGCAGCACCGTTTCCGCCACCGTCAGCATGATCGAGTCTACTACTACGCTGTCAGATACAACCATGGAAACGAGCCTTACCAAGTCTGATGCAGAGACTGCTTCCACTGATGCGGCCTCGGTAAGCGCCTCGGCCTCAATCACAATCAGCGAGTCTTCCAGCACTGTGGCCGATACCACCGCTGAAACGAGCATGGCGGAGTCTACTGCTTCCAGCGTCACCTCTGCCGACGCCAGCACTACGGAGTCCAAGCCCACTACTTTCCTTACTTCTTTCACCACGTCGAATGTAGACACTACCACCGAACCTGCAACCACCACTTCAGCTGCCTCCGGTCCCGTCGTCACCTGTCCCTCCGACGTAGACCAATGCCTTGGCACCATGGAGATTCAATGCAGCGTGCTCCTCGGAGGATTGAACAGCCCTAGCATTGTCGCTAATATGAACGAATGTGCTCAGCAATGCAACTCTGACAATTCTTGCCGAGCCTTTACATATAATGAGTACAGTCATGAATGCTTCATTGTCACTACCCAAGAGATTGTTGCCGTAGATATTAGTGGCTGGGTATCTGGCATCAAGGGAACCTGCGGTGAAAGTACCGAGTCCAGCAGCACCGTCTTTACATCCATGGCCGAAACTACGACTACCGAAGCGGCAACTACTACAACAGCCCTGGCACCTGCTGATCCTACCTGTCCCTCAACAGTTGAGCAATGCGCCGGTGACTCAGCCGTGTTGTGTGATGTGCAGCTCGACAATTTGATACTCGTAGGATTCTCCAAAGACATCCTTGAGTGCGCTTCGTTCTGCGACGCAGATGAGGATTGCGCCGGCTTCTCCCGTGTCCGCTCGAGCGGAGGATGCTTCAAGGCCATTGCTGCAATTGCCGACGTCACCGAAATTGACAGAGATGGCTGGGACAGTGGTATCAAGCATTCCTGTGGACAAGACAGTGTGCCCACAACTACGGCTTTCACATCCACTGCCGAAACCACTACAACCGAAGCGGCAACTACTACAACTGCAGCGGCACCGGTGGACAACTGTCCCCTCGAGGCTGGTATGTGCATCGGGACATCGAGAATCCAATGCGACGTTGGTCTCAATGGTCTAACACTTACTGGGAGCGGTAGTATCGCGCAGTGTGCTCAGCTCTGTGCGTATGATGATACATGCACTGGCTTTTCCCGCAGACGGGAGGATGGTGCGTGTTTCATGACTACCTCTGAGTCTGTTATCTCGTCTGAGCGAGAGGGATGGGACAGCGGTATCATGTACTCTTGTGCCGCTTAGATTCCGCGAGGGCAGAGATTCACCATGATGGACTGTATTGATAGTTAGGAGAGTTTGGAATCGATTCGGGAGCGGCATTGATAGGAACCGCCTAGGGTCCGGATTAGATGTGTTGAAGGGCATAATTGTAATCTTCTTGAACATTATTAGACTATATACTTCATACCGAAACAGCTGGTATGTTTTTGCTCTCTCCTTGCGATGTTCGTAAAAGCCATGTGCAGGCGAGAATTGTAAACACTTCCTTCCAAAGGACTAGATAAAGCCATGCTAGCCTTTCCAACACGTTAGCAAAGCATTCTATCTAAACTATCGCCCGAGAGTCTTTCTTTGCACCGTAACGAGACAGGATATGCTGGCAACCGTTCCCAAGATCTGGCAAAGTTACTGATTCGTATGTACTTAGCGGCGTTGGGACCGCCGCCCTGGATCAAGGCTGAGAATGCGTTAGTTCTGATGGGATCCCCCGCAATGTTACATGCCTTGGCATCATTTCGGGCTGGTAAACGAAAGCACGGCCTTCCAATCTCCACAAACCGTACCGAGGTGCTGACTCGGACAAGCGCCACACAAAGTCAAAAGCTCGCTAAGCTGGAGTGCGATGCTTCCGATCCTATCACAATGCCATTGTCATCCGGGGTTTCACGCTAATGATGTCTTCAGTAAGGGGAGGTTCACGCTAGAGACAAGAATCTTTCAGGAGAGCGTGGGCCCGAGTAACTCGGAGCTCTCCACATTCCGATCCAACTAGCTGGTTGATCTTCCATGTCTTGATTGGATGGGTGGCCCGCTAGATCGAAATTACCCATGCCTTGTGGGTACGGGGAAGACGGCTTTCGTGATATGATTGCGCCAGATTCTCGTACCTGTCGCTGTTAAATAGACGAGCTTGTCTTCTTTGGATTGTGGCTGCTTACACTTAGCTATTCCGTTAATGATTAAAGGCGCTGCAAGATGGCACTCTCCGGCCCCTTAAGACTCCTGCGTGCTCTGAAAGTCGTGTCTGCTATAAAAGCGGGGATATCGTCCCTGGCTGGGACACTCAGTTACCTCTCTGACTCCCCGACTACTCGCACTGCTGCTGCATCGCGCCAAAGCCCAAGATGGCAAGCGGCTCGGGCAATGCTGCTAGGTCTCAAGGGCCGGATATTCTACGCCTAAATGTATGCCTTATCGTACTGTCATCTCTTATCATGATGGCGCGTCTGTACGCTCGTTGCTTCATGACCAGGGCTTTTGGGGTTGATGACTTTTTGGCAATACTTGGCTTCGTGAGACTCCCCGTGAACCTTTCCCCATTGTATCGACGTTGACGTGTGTGTGCTTTAGGCTTTAACCGTCGCTATTTCCGCCATCGAGACCGCCCAAGTACAAAACGGATCAGGCTCAACAATGAGTACACTCACTCCCGCACAGCTAAAAGCTTTCTTTACTGTACGCGCCGATTATTCCAGGCACAAATGACCGGCTTATTTCTTGTTCCAGGCTAATAGAGAAAACCCAAGGTTCTACCTGTTGAACAAATGCTGTTTTTCCCGGCGCTCTGCTTCATTCGCCTGTCAATTCTCGCTTTCATTCCCCGTCTTCGCCGAGATCGTACGTGCACTATTCTTTACACCGCTGGTACAAACTGACTGTTGACTTGCTCATAGGTGCTTTCATGCGATGGTTATGGGGCATTGGCGCTATCATTGTTCTGACCACTCTGGCAGCATTACTCTTCTTCCTCCTAGAGTGTAGACCTATCGCGTACGTGTTCCAGTCCCTATCATTTTGTTCAGTTGGTAATCTAATACTACAATAGGGACCTATTTGATCGCATGAAGCCCAATAGACATTGCGTCAGCCAAAAGTCGGAGGCTCATTTGCTTTGGGCGCATAGTTTCATTGGGATCTTGATCGACGCCGCACTATTTGGAATACCAATATGGATCATTTACAAAAACATGAGATTTGGTTCACAGGCTATAAAAGTTATTCTCGTCTTCTGTGTTGGTTTAGTCGCCATCGTGGTCGGCATTATTCGACTTGGCTTCATGATGACTACCGACTTTGGGGTTGACACGTAGGTTACCTACCTTGGCTGCTTTGCTCCTATTACTAACATTTTGCTCACAGGACTTACAAAATGGGCCGAGTTGCCATTTGGGTGTCAATTGAATTACACGTTGGACTTTGGTGTGGCAGCTTCCCGGCTCTTCAGCCTCTGATTCGCCTCGTTTCCTACCAGGTCGGTCTTCGAAGTCACCTGTATAGTACAGACAAGACGCCCGCTCGAGGAACTCGGACCGGAACTCGACCTGGCGCAAGTCAATACATCAGGCAGCCGCACGTGGCTGACACCGACCCTGGGAGTGATGGCGCAAGCGCAAGAGCTATCGTCACAGGTGGTGGCACGACGACAGAATCTCTGGAGCTTGGGCATGTGGATAACAAAGGTATCCAGGTGATAACTGACGTAGTAGTGAGGGTAGAAGATCAAGTTGACTCACGAGATAGGAGCAAAATGGAAACAACCTGGGATGCAGTTTAATGTATAGCTAACTAGAGTATTATATTTAACTCTTAATAGAATTTTTATAAAGACTTAACTACTATAGAATATAAGATTTAAAATTATTAAATAAAACTATTAAGTATAAGATAAGTACTTATAGACTGTATGTAATTTAGGACTCTATTAATAAATCTTTATATTTTTATAATTATAAGTGTCTTTCTATATAAAATAAAAATTAATAACTTGCTTAATCTATTTAATCAGACAGTCTGTATATTCACATGCTGTAATTACAAGTTTTAAAACTAAGTGTTTCAATCTCTAGCAAAGTTTCTTTATGCTCCTAACTGTTCAACTCTGCCCCAACCCTCAGATCTCCCGGATACTCATGGTCATTCGCTCATATTTATCGGGCGTATCACTACCTCCAATCTGCCAGGTGTGACCAAACGGTCGAACACCGACAGAATTCAATCTCCAATAACCGGTAGTAGGTATACACGTGGGGGGCATGCTAGCAGATCCGCTCGACACACAAGACATCGCTGGAACCGAGCACTCAATTGCAAAGGGACCGTCCAACTCGCAAGTGAGGAAAGCCGTCTGCAAGGGAGTTTCGCTATGGCAGACCGCCACTGTCGCAGGCTTGTTAAGCTCATCGTTCGTCGCACCATAGTATCCACAGAGAAACCAGCCGAGGTCATTCACAAGCCTGCCTTGAGCGTCGATGAAGTATTGTCGAACGGAAGGATTATCGTCGTCGGTGGCGGGGTCAAATACGGCGACGGTGCCGTCACGGTTGTAAGTTTGGAGACTTCTGCCTGCAACGGCGTTCGAGCCGGAAGCGAACATTGTGAAGGTAGGGATGGCTGCGGATGAGGTGGTCTCAGCGACGGTGGTGGTGGCATCGGTGGTAGTTGGCTCAGCGGTTGTAGTCTCTGCAGTAGCCTCGGTGGTGGTTATGGCTGCAGATGTTTCAATAATGATGGAGGAATCCGATGTTTCGACCGAGGAAGCAGATGTCTCAGCGGAAGAGACAATTGTCTTGGTAGAGGACTCAACTACCGTGGAGGAAGTGGCGCTTTCATCTTCAGTGGTGGATGCGACAGAAGTGACCAATGAAGTCTCGCCAGAAGCATCTGAGGTGACAGCAGTGGATGTGATAGTGGCAGATATGGCACCAGAAGTTGTTGCGGCTGAGACTAATTTTACTTCAGTACTCAATCAATTAAAACACTTCCATCAAAAAAAAAAACTCACGAGGCTTGCAAGGGCTTGCGGCAGCAGAGCTTATGGCCAATAGGGCAAAGGCCAATAGGGCAAAGGCCACTCGCAAATGAATGACAGATAGCATTGTAGCAGACAAAAAGTGACTGAAGTGAGTCCAAGAGAAGGAATGGGGAAGGGAAAACTCGGCGCGTCTCCTACATCCTTTTATTATCGTGACTTCGGCAATCAGAAAGGGGCCTGCGAGATATCATCAGGCTAACAGACGCTATAGTCAATAGTGATGTTTTTAGTGCAACGCCAGACCCAAGTTGACGGTTCAGCTAAACGAATTTAGCATACAAATGCTGGGCGCTGGGCATACAATACACCCCTTGTATGTTTGTCAGGGTGTGACGAAATAATAGGGGACCCTTACCTTATTTATTAAATTCTTCTTATTTAAATAAAAAAGATATAAAGTTATACTTAATCTATATAAATAATTATAATATAAAGCTTTATATCTTTATATATTTTTTATTCAAATAGTTATTATATAATCTATATATTTAATTAAAAATCTGTGGCAAAGTGTGGCGTTGGTCACACCCTGACAAACATTCAGGGGGTCTATTGTACATCCAGTTGATTGGCTGCATTAGTGCTTTAATTTCCCAGCTTTAGCAGAAAACCGTCGATAAAGAAAATCAGAGCCTATTTTGCCTAAGAGAGTGATAAAGCTAATCTATTATTCGACAGAGTAGCCTAGATCTATGTTGCGGGATATTGAACTTGCCGACCACATGAATGTCAACTTTCTCAATTCCTGCAGTGGCGGGTGTCACTCAAGTCTTGGTGGTCGATGATCCTTTGGCTGACCTCTTTGGTCAGTTATGAGGTCAGGGTAGGTAGTACTGAATGACGCTGAAGCAATAACCTTATCGCCGTCTCAAAAACTTACTTATTGCATAAGTATATATTGCCTGGCTCGGGTCCAATGTAGGTCTGCGCCGCTTCCCTTGACTCTACTCCGAACGACCTAGACCTCGCATCGGCAATCGAAATGCATATCCCATCTCTACTCCTTTCCACCATTGGATTAATTTCGATTACTTCGGCATTCCCCAGCCGAATCTCAAATCCAGAGCGGCTATATCCTCGCGTTATATTGAACAAACTAGATGCAAATGCCGACGAAGACAGTCTGTGATACCAGCCAGCCCTCGACTTTGACAAGGACGGTTGCTATAACACTGCAGCTATCGATAGGAATGGGACAGTAAACAAAGGTCTCTCCACATGGGGTAATACAAAAGTGGACTGTCGCCATAAATCTCGGCTCGACAATGCAAACGTCTACACAAGGAAGCGCTGCAACAACGGTTGGTGCGCATACATGTAAGTCCCAACCTCTTATGCCCGCAAGTTCAAACTGACCGGATCAAGGTATGATTACTACTTTGAAGTGGATCATTCCCATAATTGTTTTTCTGGCCGCAGGCACAGTTGGGAAGTCGTAGTGGTCTTTGTCAAATACAACATCATCCGGCGCGTCGCCATCTCAGCACACGACGGATACCACCCACATGACGGATTCGATCATAGAGACAAACCCCTTACACAAGACGGCCACCCTTTGATCGTCTATCACAAGAAAACCTTGGGCGCTCACGCCCTCCGGTTTGCCAATGATGAGGATGTGAAAAAGCCTGAGAACCACTACGGGAAATGGGTCATGTCAGACCTAGTTGGTTGGGATGGCTTTCCTACCCCAGAGTACAAGGAGAATTTGACAACTTACAAATTCGCAAGGGATGAGCATTTTCATCTCTCGGATGCGTTATTTGGGCAGAGTTTACAAAAGGCTGCCGGGAAACAGGTTGACGGGTTTGATTGTTTTAGAGACGGAGGGGAAGAGTATAAAAAGAAGGATAAAAAGCAAAAGGATATGCGCAAGGAGAAGCAGAAGAACAAAGTGAAAGAGAAGGATTCAAAGATCAAGAAGGGCGAACATACGGAGGATGAGGATGATTCGAGGAAGGAAAATGGCGCCAAGAAGGAGAAGGATGAAAACGATTGATTTTACTGATATTTTCCTCTGGCAGCCGAATACCCTACATCCCACGACTAATTAACAGTGCTCAGGTCATCAAACAACATAGACCCGTCATGGATGACCGGCGCATACAACCCATATATATCTATGTTTTTTGCAAGGCTTTAGAGAGTTATTAGTAATAAATGCTAATAAAAATCATATATATCAGCTGTTTTATGTCAAATGCAACCCATATCGGAGATATATGTTAGTAAAATAAGAACATAGAACCGATCTCCAGCACCACGGTCAGTCAAATCATTTACTACACTTGCTACTTCTATCGATCTAATGATTTATAACCAGACTTGAAAGAACAGACCATTCCACGTCGTCTCTGATCACGATCCCACAATCATCGGTTCTCGCCGAGTCTCCCCCGCATCCCCACGCCACTCTTCATTCGTGGAAACATCCCCCTGTCCAATCTTAACACTAACCTAATCCCCATCAGGTAATCCGATCATCCCATCACGTTAGGCTTATAAGTGACTTTGTGACTTCGCATTACTATCTCTGGAAACACGTTCAATGAGGGGAAGGCAGTCTTTTGCGTCACGTTGTACATCAGCTGAGGATGTTATAAAAGCAACGTTTCTTTGCGATACAACCCCTCTCTTCTTTCCATCACTATTGTTGATATTTGACTTCAACTTCCATCATGTCAATGAAAGCAGTGCGTTTCCACGGACAGCAAGATGTCCGGCTAGAAGACGTGCCCCTCCCCTCTCTTGACTCAAACTCGGTCTGCATCTCCCCTAAATTCTGCGGGATCTGCGGGACAGACGTCCATGAGTATCTCGGTGGCAATAACCTCATTCCCAAACCGGGTGCCCCGCACGGCATCACTGGGGAAACATCGCCCCTCACTTTGGGTCATGAGTTCAGTGGCATTGTTGAAGAAGTTGGTAGTGAAGTTACGCGCCTCCAGAAAGGAGACCGTGTTTGCGTTCAGCCAATTATCTACGATAATGAGTGCCGTTCATGCAAGCGTGGTCTTGTCAATTGCTGTGATAAGAATGGATTTATCGGGCTGAGCGGTTGGGGAGGCGGTCTTTGTGAAACTACGGTCGTTCCGCAGGATGCTGTGAAAAAGTTGCCTGATAATGTTTCGCTTGAGGTCGGAGCACTTGTTGAGCCGCTGGCTGTCGGGTGGCACGCGATCAAGATATCGCCCTACCAAGAAGGCGATTCAGCGTTTGTTGTCGGCGGTGGACCAATTGGACTGGCTGTTGTGCAGGCATTGATTGGAAGAGGCTGCAAGAACATTATCCTGAGCGAGGTCAGCTCCAAACGCCGTGAGTTTGCAAGGAAATTTGGCGCTCATCATGTCTTCGACCCCACCAAAGACGACATCGTGGCTGAAGTCAAGAAATTGACAGACGGTCTGGGCGCCGATGTCGGTTTTGACGCAGCTGGCTCTCAGCATGCCATTGATGCAGCTTTCGATTGCCTCAAGGCCAGAGCCGTACTCGTCAACATCGCTGTTTGGGAAAAGAGGGCTCAATTGAACATGAATCAGATCGTGTTCCGCGAACGATCATACGTTGGATGGTAAGTTCTCTCTGGCGTCATTGAAGCGAGTCTAACTTTGTTTAGCGCCACGTATGCTCTTGGTGACTTTGAGGAGGTCATTGAGGCGCTTTCGAATGGTAAGATTACGCCTCAAGGCATGATTACAAAGGTCATCAAGATGGATAAGGTTGTTGAGGAGGGGTTCCAGACGCTTATTAATGATAAGGATAATCATGTTAAGATTTTGGTTGATGTTAGTGCAGGTGTATAAGAACGGAGATTGGCATTTATATATGTAGATTAGTTGGTAGGAGTTGAGTATAAATCCTGATACGTATGTATCGGGAAATTCCTAGGTCAGATCTACCTAACCGTGCGTATCTTAGCTTAGTTTCCCTTATCTAACGCAAGGCTAATATAAATTAGCCTTAACTTAACAAATTTAACTTAACCTTTTTAAGGTCTTTTAAACCTTATTTATTTACTTACTTTAGTATAAATTAGCTAGTTATTATAATTATAAGCCTAGGTAAAAAGTTATTTTAGTAACTTTTACTATACTTATTTTATATTTATTTACCTTTTTATTATAACTATTATATTATTACCCTTTTTCCTAGCGTAGTAAGGCTATATAAGAAAATTTCTTATCCCTTTTTATTACTTTATATTGCCTTTTTATTTACTATTATAATATATCTAAGATGATAATATTAGCATTAGCTAATACTAATTTAGTAAATTTAGTTATACTAAATTCCCTAAAGAAATAGCTATAATAAATTTAGATTCTTAAAATATAAACTAAAACTATAAGTATTTAAAAGCTTATTAATCCTAAGCTTTTAAATATTAATAATAATATTTCTATAGTACCTAAACCTAAGCAGTTTAAAGATTTTAAAGCTATAAAGCTTAAAAGATATAGAGTTATTTAAATAAAGATTATAGTAAAATGCGCTGCTTATATAGGTAATAAGCTTATACTAGTAGTTCTATAATCTCTCTTAAGCGCTTTTACTAATAATTAACTTTATAAGCAATTTAAGCTATATTAGGTATTTATATAGCAGAAAAGCAAGGTAACTAAAATATATATAAATTAGCTTTAAACTATAATAGTATATATCCTAAAAACGGTTAATTTAGGTATAGTAATTATAGTAAAAATATAGTTATAATATAACTAAAAGGGCTATTACTTTATTTAATAGCTTCTTTATAGTATAAAAAAAAGCTATAGCTTATTAAGTATTAAAAATATAATAAAGGTAACTATAAAGTATACTAAGATCCTAAGTAAAGTAAAAAGAGTAAAAGTTAACTCTTAAGATTAGCTTAATTACTAGTATTCTGTCTTTATATATATAAAGTTATATAGAAATAGTAAAGTCTAGGGACTACTTATAATAATTAACTTTATTAATATAGTTAGTATAAAGATAGCTTCTAGTTAGGCTACTTATATAAAACTTATAGCTAATATAAACTAAGTAAATAGAAAGCTATATTATAATATAGCTAATATAGTATAGTAATTTAAAGCCTAGCTTTAAGAGAACTATTATATAAAAGCGCTAATAATTAATATAACCCTTATAAGAAAAAGTAATTATAGTAAACCTTAAGAATGCTTATAATCTAGTAATTAAAAAGAATTTAAGACCTGTTTATATAAATAAAAGGAATACTATTAAAACCCTAAAAGCTATAGCTATATTAAGATTACCCTAGGTAAAGCTTATAGAAGCTAAACCTTAAAGATAACTAAAATAGAGATTATAGTAATTTAAGCTAAACTAAAGAAACCTATATAAAATAAGCTTAAATAGAAGTTTATAATAAAAGGCTTATCCTTAGAGTCTAGAATTAAAAATAGTAAAGGAAACTTTAACTAGGGCCTAGATAGCTTTAGTATAGTAGGGATTAATTTAAAATTAATTACTAAGACTAAATATTCTTTAGTAATATATATAGGTAATAAACTAAAGCACTTTTTAGCTAATTTAACTCTATTTAATAATTATAGGGTAAGTTATTTAGTAAATAATATTAGTTTTTTAGAAAAAGGATCTTTTATAGAAGCTTGCAATAAATAGGTTAAGGCAGGTAATACTTACTTCCCTATTATAAGCTATAGAATAAGAATTATTAAAAACCTTTTAGATAGACCTAAAGGGAAAAAGACTTGCTTACTTATACTTAATAAAGTAGTAGTTATTTACAAGTAATTATCTATAGTTTTTATATAAATATTGTATTAAAAGTACTTCTTATAAATATAAAGATTTAGTATACTAGTTATAATTATACTTTTTACTATAAAGAACCTAAGTAAAGTATTATTATTACTTAGATAGAATGCTACTATAATCTTATTTTCTTTTAATATAAGCTAATTTCTTATTACTTTAAATACTTAATTTTAATAATTTAAGGTATAGTTCTAATTTCCTTACTTATAATACAGTTTACTATAATCTCCTTAAGAAGCTATAGCATATAATATTACCCTTTTTATAATAAGCTATATAAAAGGCTAGATTTAGAATAACTATAGTACTTAAAAGCAAAATATCTTAGAAGTTAGGGGGTAAAAGAACTTATAAAAAGGGTATAAGGGGTAAAAGTAAATAAAATAAAGTAAATTAAGTATTTAATCTATATATAAATGTATATATATAGCGTAGTTAGTAGAAGACTATTAGGATACTATACCCCTTATCCTTTTTAGCAAATCTATTAAAATCTTTAAGACTATAAGGAAGGCTTTAATAATATAAGGTAGCTATTAGTAATTAAAAATAAATTTACAGGACTTCTATATATTAAACTACTTTCTAATAAGACTAAAGATATAATCTTTAATATAATATACTAATATAATAAATAGGTAAAATAATAATTTACTTTTACTATATATAAGATTTAAAGTAATAATAAATATACTGTAATTTATAAATTAAGAAATATACTATACTAAATCTATTATTATAATAAAGGTATTAAGGTTAAAATATCCCTAGTAAATATATATAA